CACCCGCTGCTTTTTTTGGAAAGGGTCAGGGACTTTTTTGAACGCAAAAAGTTGCGTTTTTGATTCTATAGGCCTCAATGCAGATGCTGCAGAAAAGCATGTATTGCATTTTTGCCGCGTTTTTTAAAACTGCCTAGCAACAAGAAAATGCAGAAACGGCTCAAACGCGACCGGCATAGGTGTGAATCTAGCCTTGTTGGGGGGGTGCAGCAATATGCAAATTGTATAGCGCGAATTGTGTAGCGCAATTGATATTTTTGTAAGCAAGCACCCCCAACATGTGCGTTTTTTATTCTATAGGTGTGGGGCTTAAACTTTTTGGGGAATTTAAGAGTTTGGATACAACTTGATTTTTTTAAACATTTTTTTTTCACTAATCGTTATTTTTTTGTCACTTGTTAGATCAAAAGTAACCTATGTGATATAATTTTGTCCTGACAGGTTCTCTTTAATGAAACATTGGGGTCTTTGATGTATTACCTACCATCCATTGAAGCTAATGGAGCACAGATCTGACTCCCTTAGCTTCTTCCCCATCCAGAGCAAGTGACAGTCAAATCCGGAAGTGATGTAATACACGTTGCTTGTGGGTTCGTACTAGTTAGTGGAGATCAGCGAATGGAAGTTTGCAGGTTTCCCTCCCCTCTATCCAATGGCACCATGCTGGTCCTGGGATGCTGGTCCTGGTCCTGGCAGGTGGGGGGAGGTGGGAGGGCGGAGCCCAGGAAACATGGCAGGGGGACACACTTAAGGGGTTGTACACTGAGTGAGGGATCAGTAGAGCTGAGGATACTAGTGAGTGAGGGATCAGCCAAGCTGGGGGTACTACTGAGTGAAGGACCAGCTGAGCTGGGGGTTACTACTGTGTGAGGGATCAGCAGAGCTGGGGGTTTACTACTGAGTGAGGGATCAGCAGAGCTGGGGGTTACTACTGAGTGAGGGATCAGCAGAGCAGGGGTTACTACTGAGTGAGGACCAGCCGAGCTGGGGGTTACTACTGAGTGAAGGATCGGTAGAGCTGAGGGTACTAGTGAGTGAGGGGTGAGGGATCAGCAGAGTTGGAGGTCCTACTGAGTGAGCGATCAGAGATGGAGGTACTACTGAGTGAGGGACAAGCCGAGATGGGGGTTATAACTGAGTGAGGGATCAGTAGAGCTGAGGGTACTAGTGAGTGAAAACCAGCCGAGCTGGGGATTACTAATTAGTGAGGGATCAGCAGAGCTGGGGGCTACTACTGCGTGAGGGACCAGCGGAGCTGGGGGCTACTACTGCGTGAGGGACCAGCTGAGCTGGGGGCTACTACTGCGTGAGGGACCAGCTGAGCTGGGGGCTACTACTGCTTGATGGACTAGCCGAGCTGTGGGCTACTACTGAGTGAGGGGACCAGCATGTGATGCATGTGAATGGCATCGAAAAGTTTAAAGCTGAACTCTGGGATAAGCAAACATTCCTCAATCCATTCCTCCTGGGTATTCCTCCTTGAATCTCGGTCTGCTTTGTGTATTTCTTCCAGATCCGTGCAGTAATCCAGTGTGAGACTTCCTGTAAAGATCGCTCACTGCCGCCCTCTCTTCTTGTGCAGTGTGACTGGTCTGGTCTCCGCCCCCTATACTTCTCTGTAGTGGGTGGAGCCTGCTGGGTCCCTCTCTGTAGAGGCTCTGTGCAGCACAGTGATGAGGTTACAAGGTGATATCTGGCTTTGCAAAGAGATTTGGTGCAGGCAAAGTGGAATTATATCCTTTTTGGCTATTGAGAAATTCATTTAAATGAAAGTTTTTTTTGTTTGTTTTTTTGTGTGCCCGGAGTTCAGCTTTAAAGATTGAAAAACAGAATTTGAAATTAGAGCGCAGATACGACCCCCATAAAAAATAACGCATGAGATGTCAGAGACGCGGGTTTGTGGCCAATCCAGGGACTGACATCTGACAAGGGTTAGGACCGCTTTATACTTCAGAATTAAATGCTGCAAAAGCCTGTTTTGCATCATTCCAGCATCATTCCACCCCAAACAATAACTACTCTGTATTGCAGCTTAACTGTCCTTAGAAAACTAATGCAGCCGCCACATACAGTGGGTGTAGAACAGAGTCGCCGACCCTTTAAAACAATCTAATTTTGTTGCTTTGCAGCCTGAAATGAAGACACGCGTTTTTATATATATATATATATATATATATATATATATATATATACACATACATATACACACACACTGCTGCATGTTGAAATGTGTTTTTTATATAATACAAAATATATATAAAAACTATTTTTAAAAATATATAGTTTTATAAATTTATTCTTCAGATTTTTTTTAACGTATAAAAAAGTAATTTTAATATATATTTTTACATATAAATGCATTCCAAAAATGTAGATTAAATGTATTTTTAAAGTCATACAGTATATGTGAAAATTTATATTTAAAAATATATTATTCAGATATTTCATTTTTCATATATTTTTTAATAAAAACGCATTTCAACATACTATATATATATATATATATATATATATATATACATATATATACACATACATACACATACATACACATATATACACATACTGCATGTTGAAATGTGTTTTTTATATATTACAAAATATATGAAAAATATTTTTAACAATATATTTTTTTTAAATATATCCTTCAGTTTTTTTTTTTAACATATAAAAAAGTCATTTTAACAAATATTTACATATAAATGCATTCCAAAAATGTAGATTAAATATATTTGTAAATACATACAGTATATTTGAAAATGTATTTTTAAAAATATTTTTCATATATTTAATTTTTCAGATTGTTTTTTAATAAAAACGCATTTCAACATACAGTGTATAAAAATATATATATATATTTTTTTTTTCTCTCTCTATATATACATATATTTTTTTTTTTTCTCTCTCTCTAATATATACATATATATATATATATAAAATCTCTCTCTCTCTCTAATATATATATATATATATATATATATGGATATATAAAATTGTCTTCTCTCTCAGGAGATCTCTCTAATATATACCAGGGGATATTTTGCAGGGATGACCAGGGACTGTCAGGGATGACCTCAGAAAACTGCGGACTCCATAAGACGCACCTAGGTTTTAGAGGGGAAAAAACAAGAAAAAAAAATATTCTGAGTACCAATGGACTGCAGACACAGTACAGGGGATGACACAGACAGGGGATGACTGCAGACACAGTACAGGGGATGACCAGAGACTGCGGACACAGTACAGGAGATGACCAGAGACTGCAGACAGTGCAGGGGATGACCAGAGGACAGTGCACTGGGGCATGACCAGAGACTGCAGACAGTGCAGGGGATGACCAGAGACTGCAGACAGTGCAGGGGATGACCAGAGACTGCAGACAGTGCAGGGGATGACCAGAGACTGCAGACAGTGCAGGGGATGACCAGGGACTGCGGACACAGTGCAGGGGATGACCAGGGACTGCGGACACAGTGCAGGGAATGACCAGGGAGACTGCTGACCAGACTGCTGACAGGGAATGACCAGAGACTGCTGACCTTTGGGGAAGAAGGGGGAGCGGGTACCTGAATTTGACAGGTACCCGCTCCCACTTCCGCGGAGTTGTCCTTCCTGCCTTCTTCCCGGGCCGGCTTCTGTGACAGCCGGTTGCCCATTGCGCATGCGCGAGAAGCGCTGCGCTTTGTGAATGGCCCAGCGCCTTCTGGGACCTGTCATGTGTCCCAGAAGACACCGGATCATTCTCAAAGTGCAGCGCTTCTCGCGCATGCGCAGTGGGCACCCGGTTGTCACAGAAGCCAGCGTGGGAAGACTGTACAGCGCTGGAGTGAGGAACAGGTAAAGCCCTGCAGGAGAGAAGAGCTGAGCGGCCGGCCCGGTATTCTGACATGGTGGCATCAGAAATACCGGACCGGCCGCTTTATATTCGCTCCATAAGACGCACTGACATTTTCCCCCCTTTTTTGGGGGGGAAAAAGTGCATCTTATGGAGCGAAAAATACGGTATATAGTATGTTGAAATGCGTTTTTATTACAGAATATATGAAAATTGAAATATATGAAAAATATTTGTAAAATTAATTTTCAAATATGCTGTATGTCTTTTAAAAATACATTTAATCTACATTTTTGGAATGCATTCAGATGTATGTATGTATACATATATATATATTTCTATCTATCTATACATATATATATATATTTATTTTATATATTTGGAAATATATTAAATACGGCCAACATTGTATATTTCAAATATATGTCAATATATTTGGGAAGAATATTTTAAAAATAGATTTAAAATATATATTTCTTCCATGTGGGTAGCGCTCTTCTGTAAATTACCAAATGCCTTGCCCCTCCCCAACCCCCCATGTAATGGAGATGAAGAGATACGGTCATGTTTGTAATCTCTTTCAGTAAAGCAGCTTAGGGTGACAACCAGGAACGGACTGACAACTCATGGGGCCCCCAGGCAATAGGGGATCATGGGGCCCCTGTGTCCTTGCCCAAACTCAAAAAAGCCTATGAAAGGTACCAGGGGCATCTCATGGGGCCCCTACTGACTCCTGGTCCTCGGGCAGTGCCCGAGTTTCCAAATGGTCAGTCTGCCCCTGGTGACAACCATGGGTTCCTCCAGAGATACAACGTAGGAGTGAGTGTAGCCAGGAACAGGATCACCAGGTGAAAAATAAAGCAGAAGAAGCTCGAAAAGAGAAAACTATAACAGTCACCACAGCAATGACTAATAATCGGCAATATGTGACAGTTTTGGTTTGGGGTGTAGATACACATCAATGGACATCTAGAGTAGAAGGTGGTGAGATCTTAGATTGGCCGTAGCTGCAGGAGACCCAGCTGCCCCGTTCTTCAGGAGAAGGTCATCATGTAGACCGTTTGCTATTCTCATAAAAAAATTAAAAATAAAAATAATAGATACAAACAGGTAAGTTGTATGAAATAATAATTACGTTTTCTTATATCCTCTTCCTGTGTTTCAGCTGGAGTGTGGAAGATCTTTACCATCCCCCAACGACCTAAAGAGAAAGATCCTCATTAAAAACAAGCGCTTAAAATCTGAAGCCGAGAAAAGTATGTATTGTCCTTCCTGCTGCGTCCAAACCTGAAATAAAAACCTTCCGGAGATACTTTAGGCCCGGAAAGAGTTGGTGAAAAATGTCCGTTGCGCCTTTGTACCCCCCCCCCCATGACCAGCAGACATGTGCAGAGCAAAATAATTCATATTGTATTGTCCTTCGTTATTTAACCCCTTGCCTGCCGGGCACTTCTACCCCCTTCCTGCCCCCGGGCACTTCTACCCCCCCCTGTCCCCCGGGCACTTCTACCCCCTTCCTGTCCCCCGGGCACTTCTACCCCCTTCCTGTCCCCCGGGCACTTCTACCCCCTTCCTGCCTGCCGGGCACTTCTACCCCCTTCCTGTCCCCCGGGCCCCAGGCACTTCTACCCCCTTCCTGCCTACAGAGCACTTCTACCCCCTTCCTGCCTACAGAGCACTTCTACCCCCTTCCTGCCTACCGGGCACTTCTACCCCCTTCCTGCCTACAGGACACTTCTACCCCCTTCCTGTCTACAGGACACTTCTACCCCCTCCCTGCCTACCGGGCACTTCTACCCCCTTTTTGCCTACCGGGCACCTCTACCCCCTTCCTGCCTACCGGACACTTCTACCCCCTTCCTGCCTACCGGACACTTCTACCCCCTTCCTGCCTACCGGACACTTCTACCGGGCACCTCTACCCCCTTCCTGCCTACCGGACACTTCCCCCCTTCCTTCTACCCCCTTCCTGCCTACCGGGCACTTCTACCCCCTTCCTGCCTACGGGGCACTTCTACCCCCTTCCTGCCTACAGGGCACTTCTACCCCCTTCCTGCCTACCGGGCACTTCTACCCCCTTCCTGCCTACAGGGCACTTCTACCCCCTTCCTGCCAAGGCCAATATTCAGCTTTCAGCGCTGTCACACTTTGAATGACAATTGCGCGGTCATGCAACATTGTACCCATATGAAATTTTTATCATTTTTTTGAGACAGATAGCGCTTTCTTTTGGTGGTATTTAATCACCACTGGGATTTTTATTTTTTTTCTTATACAAACCAAAAAACCGCTAAACATTTAATAAAAAAAATGTTTTTTCTTAGTTTTTGTTATACAATTTTGTAAATAAGTGATTTTTCTCCTTCACTGATGTGCGCTAATGAGGCTGCAGTGATGGCCACTGATAGGCTGCACTGATGGACACTGATAGGTGGCACTGATGAGGAGGCACTGATAGGTGGCACTGATGGGCATTGACAGGCATTACTGATGGGCACTGATAGGCAGCACTAATGGGCACTGCAATGCAGCACTCATATATGGCACTGATAGGCGGCACTGACTGGCACTGTTAGGCAGCACTGACGGGCACTGATAGGTGGCACTGATGCGTACTGATAGGCGACACTGACTGGCACTGATAGGTGGCACTGATTGGCAGCACTGATAGGTGGCACTGATTGGCATTGATAGGTGGAACTGACTGGCACTGATGGGTGACATTGAAAGGCAGCTCAGATGGGCACTGATATGTGGCATTGATGTGCACTGGTATGCACTGATGTGGCACTGATGGGCACTGGCACGTGGCACTGATGGGCACAGGCATGTGGCACTGATGAGCACTGACAGGTGGCACTTCTGGGGCCACACTGATCATCAGGGCACACTGATCATCAGTGCCCCGATGATCAGTGTACATGTCCTCTCCACGGAAAGCTGATTACTGGCTCTCCTCTCCTCTGTCAGCGTGACAGCTCGAGAGGAGAGAAATGCCGATAACCGGCATTTCCGTGTTTACATGCGATCGCCTGTGATTGGATACATTTTAGTTTATTCTAGAACCCAGAACACAATTCTCCTGTTTTCAATACACTATACAATCTGCTTAATGCAGGCCATAGACGGTTCGTTTATCGGCCGATTTTTTCGTCCGAAAAACGAAACATCGTAAACCGATGTTCATAAGTGATAATATAAATGATACCGTGAAAAAAATAAAAATGAATATAAATAAAATTTACTTCAAACCAGTGCCACATATAGTGCTATTTTAAATATAATACTAATCCAATATTTTAAATAATTTATAAATAGTCCTCTTTGTGCTTTTATAATATTTTCAGTGACAAGTGAGGTGTTATTTTGTGCCACACTCCCCGTGCTCTGTAGATAGATGTGCGCTCACCTCCTTGATTAGCCAGACTAAGTGGCTAAAAACACTTTTTGTCCTATCAGGACAAGGTGGAAAAATCTTCACACTCTATACGTATTTCCTTCCATGCTGGGGATTGCCTTATTTCTGCCACCAGAGGGCTCCCTTATTCCTCCTTCCACACTTTTAGCCTCAATGGATGGTTAGAGATGGTTTAGGTGGTATTTCCTCCTCCCAGTAAACCATGTAAAACAGAGCCACAAATAGTGCCTTATCCTTTGTGAGATTCAATCTTTATTATGTAATTGAAATCGCCACTCACATTTTGCAGTATTCAGCCAAGTTGTATTCAGCAGATACGTGCCCAGATCCTGTCCTTGTAAATGCCGCTCGTTCACCGCGGCGTCGTGACGTCAGAGCCCCTCCCCTGACGTCAGAGCCCCTCCCCTGACGTCACGACGCCGCGGTGAACGAGCGGCATTTACAAGGACAGGATCTGGGCACGTATCTGCTGAATACAACTTGGCTGAATACTGCAAAATGTGAGTGGCGATTTCAATTACATAATAAAGATTGAATCTCACAAAGGATAAGGCACTATTTGTGGCTCTGTTTTACATGGTTTACTGGGAGGAGGAAATACCACCTAAACCATCTCTAACCATCCATTGAGGCTAAAAGTGTGGAAGGAGGAATAAGGGAGCCCTCTGGTGGCAGAAATAAGGCAATCCCCAGCATGGAAGGAAATACGTATAGAGTGTGAAGATTTTTCCACCTTGTCCTGATAGGACAAAAAGTGTTTTTAGCCACTTAGTCTGGCTAATCAAGGAGGTGAGCGCACATCTATCTACAGAGCACGGGGGAGTGTGGCACAAAATAACACCTCACTTGTCACTGAAAATATTATAAAAGCACAAAGAGGACTATTTATAAATTATTTAAAATATTGGATTAGTATTATATTTAAAATAGCACTATATGTGGCACTGGTTTGAAGTAAATTTTATTTATATTCATTTTTATTTTTTCACGGTATCATTTATATTATCACTTATGAGTTTATATGTATATTGTGGAGCGCAGCACGTATATATATATTTGTAAAAATATATATAATTCTTTTATATAGTGTATGATTTGCACAGATTATGAGTATTGTGTAGGGTGTTGAAGCACCATAATTTGATATATTTTTTAAAGATTATTCATTTCACAAGGGGAATATCACATTTTTGGCTCACGAGTATCATTTATTGTATTCGTAAACCGATGTTGCCACCAATGATTTCGAAAATCAGTCGTTTTTCATGAATTTTCCAGCATGACCGATAAACGAAATGAGGAGGAACCATGAAAATCGGCCGATGCCACTGCCCCACTAACAGTGCAAAAATCGTCCGTTTATTCTTTCGGACGGAAAATCGACCGATAAACGAACCATCTATAGCCTGCATTAGATCTCCCATCAACTATGTAGTGCAAGGGCCTGCCTGATTGGATGCAGAGTGATTGGGTAGATAGGTGGGTCCTCCTATTCCAGGGGTAGGCAACCTTAACCACTTTACAACGGCGGTATACCCGAATGACGGCTACAGCGTCATATGACGTCCTCCCATAACGCGCCCTCAGTGGCGCGCTCCTGCCACTGTCCTACAGACACAGCTGAAGGTAAAAGGCCAATCAAAGCGGCCTTTTACCACATGATCAGCTGTGTCCAATGACACGCTGATCACTGGGTAAATACAGTTGCCGGTTATCGGCTGCACTTTCCTCGCACTGTCACAGCTTGTGGAAAGCACTGCCTATAAAGAGCAAGTGTCACAGAAGGCATCTGCACTGATTACCAGTGCAACCCCAAAAGTAACCAGCAGTGCCGCCAATCAGTGTCACCCATCAGTACCGCCAATCAGTGTTGCCATTCAGTGCCCTTCATTGCTGCCTATCAGTGCCCATCAGTGCTGCCTATCAGTGCCACCTTATCAGTGCTGCCTATCAGTGCCACATCATCAGTGCACATCAGTACTGCCTAGCAGTGCTGCCTATCAGTGCCACCTCATCAGTGCCCATCAGTGCTGCCTATCAGTGCCACCTCATCAGTGCCCATCAGTGCTGCCTATCAGTGCCACCTCATCAGTGCACATCAGTACTGCCTATCAGTTCCCCCACAGTGCTGCCTATCAGTGCCACCTCATCAGTGCCCATCAGTGCTGCCTATCAGTGCCACCTCATCAGTGCCCATCAGTACTGCCTATCAGTGCCACCTCATCAGTGCCACCTCATCAGTGCCACCTCATCAGTGCACATCAGTGCTGCCTATCAGTGCCACCTCATCAGTGCTGCCTATCAGTGCCCATTAGTGCTGTCTATCAATGTCACCTCATCAGTGCACATCAGTACTGCCTATCAGTGCCACCTTATCAGTGCTGCCTATCAGTGCCCATTAGTGCTGCCTATCAGTGCCACCTTATCAGTGCCCATCAGTGCTGCCTATCAGTGCTACCTTTCAGTGCAGCCTCATCGAGGAGAAAAATTACCTTTTTTAAAAAAAAATTAATAGAAACAACTTTTTTTCCCCCAATTTTTGCTCATTTTTGTTTATAGTGAAAAAAATTAAACCCCCATCGGCGATTAAATACCACCAAAAGAAAGCTCTATTTGTGGGAAAAAATAATTAAAATTTCATATGGGTACAGTGTTGCATGACCGCGTAATTGTCACTCAAAGTGCGCCAGCGCTGAAAGCTGAAGATTGGCCTGGACAGGAAGGGGGTGGGAGTGCCCGGTAGGCGAGGGGTTAAAGAGGTGGAGACCTACCTGAACAACATGGGAGAAGTCAGAGATCACTGGGCTCACCGGGTTCTCCTCCTCACACCTGATGTAACCTCTAATTGCCGTACTGCCATGTCACAAATGCACAGCAATCATGGGTTCAAATCAGGTGGTCAGGAGCAGGGGCGGACTGACCATTTGGAAACTCGGGCACCGCCCGAGGGCCCGGGGTCAGTAGGGGGCCACATGAGATTCCCCTGGTACCTTTCATGGACTTTTTTGGGTGTGATTTGAGTTTGGGCAAGGACAAAGGGACCCCATGATTTCCTATTGCCCGGGGGCCCTGTGAGTTGTCAGGCCGCCCCTGGTCAGGAGGCAACATATCGCCTCCTGACCACCTGTTAAACGCACTCGGATCGCTTTTCAGAGGAACTGCAGTGCCTGCTTTACTTGTGAATGAGCCCTCAGTGGCACCGTTAGGGCTCATTCACACATACATTGGGGGGGGGGGGGGGCGGTAATAAAAGTCTGCAGAATGCTAGCCAGGATAAGAGGTGGAGTGCAGTTGGTATCAGTCCACATGGGACAGGAGGCGGCACTACAGAGGAGGCATTGGATTATGCGGCTCCTGCTCCCTCTGCATAGCACTCTGTATGATGCTCTGGGATGGCGGGTCAGCAAGCCCAGACCACGATCTACCAGCCACCCGGCTGAGGTCTACTGGTTGCTTACCCCCGTCCTATTCCATAGTTCTGGAAAATGTAAAGGAAATTGTACAATCAGATTGCATAGTGTATGTGAACTTTACAGAACCCAATTCTCCTGTTTTCAGTGCTAGAGCTCTGTCCACAAAGGCTGATATCTGTTCACTCAGCACATTCTGCCGAATGAACGATCTATGCAAGATGAAAGTTAAAGTGTTACTGAACCCAACAGTAAGATCGGTCTGTATATGGCAGAAATGGTGAAATTTTGGCAGTGATATTGAAAATATGCCAAAAGCGGTCTTTTATTTAAAGTCTTACTAGACCCCCCACAGTACAATCAGTCTGTAGATGCAGTAAAGCATGCTTGATATACTCACTGTGGAACCTAAGGGGTTAATCCTCTGCATTGTGTAAAAAGGATGTTTGATCCTGTCTTCTCTGCTCCTCCTCTTGTTCAAATGTTCACTTCTTATCTCCTGATAAGACAGTCTGAACCGTTGCCATTCTGCACATGCTAAGTTTAGTGTGTATTGCTAGAGAGGTTTTTTTTTTTCTTGGGAGGGTGCATGTGATCAGCACTGTCCAGACAGAGGGTCAGGGGTTCTGCATCCTCCTAGGAAAGAAAACTCCACCTACAAGTTGTAACCAGTGCTCTGCTCACACTGATAGAAGTCACAAGACTGCTATATACTGATGAGAAAAGGTATTTAGCAGTTTATATTTACTAAAATAATTGCACTTCCATGTTGTGTGTACTGTGGGAGAGCAGATATAGTGAATGCAGGGTCCGGGGAGAGCGGATATAGTGAATGCAGGGTCCGGGGAGACCAGATATAGTGAATGCGGGGTCCGGGGAGACCTGATATAGTGAATGCAGGGTCCAGGGAGAGCGGATATAGTGAATGCAGGGTCCGGGGAGACCGGATATAGTGAATGCAGGGTCCGGGGGGAGAGCGGATATAGTGAATGTAGGGTTCGGGGAGACCAGATATAGTGAATGTAGGGTCCGGGGAGAGCGGATATAGTGAATGCAGGGTCTGGGGAGACCGGATATAGTGAATGCAGGGTCCGGGAGACCAGATATAGTGAATGCAGGGTTCGGGGGGGGAGAGCAAATATAGTGAATGCAGGGTCCTGGGAGACCGGATATAGTGAATGCAGGGTCTGGGGAGACTGGATATAGTGAATGCAGGGTCCGGGGAGAGCAGATATAGTGAATGTAGGGTTCGGGGAGACCAGATATAGTGAATGCGGGGTCCAGGGAGACCTGATATAGTGAATGTAGGGTCCGGGGAGAGCGGATATAGTGAATGCAGGGTCCGGGGAGACCATATATAGTGAATGCAGGGTCCGAGGAGAACGGATATAGTGAATGCAGGGTCCGGGGAGACCGGATATAGTGAATGCAGGGTCCGAGGAGAACGGATATAGTAAATGCAGGGTCCGGGGAGACCGGATATAGTGAATACAGGGTCTGGGGAGACCGGATATAGTGAATGCAGGGTCCGGGGAGAACGGATATAGTGAATGCAGGGTCCGGGGAGAGCAGATATAGTGAATGCAGGGTCTGGGGAGACCGGATATAGTGAATGCAGGGTCCGGGGAGACCAGATATAGTGAATGCAGGGTTCGGGGAGAGCAAATATAGTGAATGCAGGGTCCTGGGAGAGCGGATATAGTGAATGCAGGGTTCGGGGAGAGCGGATATAGTGAATGCAGGGTCCGGGGAGAGCGGATATAGTGAATGCAGGGTGCGGGGAGAGCGGCTATAGTGAATGCAGGGTCCCGGGGTTTAGGAACACTTTAATGTAGAAAAATAAAAATCGATGTCTGGGTTTTGTTTACAGTCTTCCTCCCTGTCAGCTCGGGCACACTGCACAGCACAGCCATTCGGAGCAGTGTGATTACAGTGAAGCACACGCCCCCCTGACCCGCCCCCTAGTAAAACACTCTCTACACACAGTTAACCCTTTGATCACCCCACATGTTAACCCCTTCCTGCCCAGTGTCATTAGTAGTGTCAATGCTGTTTTTTATTTTATTGGTGTCACTGGGGATGTCAGTGACATCAAGTCAGTTCCCCCCAGTGTCAGAATGCCCCCCGAGGTCCCGCTATAAGTCGCTGATCTCCGCCATTACTAGTAGGAAAGAAAAAATCCCAGTATCTATACTGCCATTTGTAAACGCTATAACGTTCACGTAAACCAAATAATTTAAACGTATCGGTATTTTTTTTGTAGCAAAGACACGGAGCAGAATACATTTTGGCTGAAATTTATGACGAAATTTGATTTTTTTTAATTGGCACGTTTAATAGCAAAAAGTCCAAAATATAATTTTTTTCTCAAAATTGTCTGTGTTTTTTTGCTTATAGCTCAAAAATATAAAAACCGCACAGGCGATCAAATACCACCGAAAGAAAGCTCAATTTGTGGGGAAAAAAGGACGTAAATTTTATTTGTGTGCGGTGTTGCATGACCGCGCAGTTGTCAGTTAAAGTAACGCAGCACTGTAAAGTGAAAAAATGGCCTGGTCAGGAAGGGGGGGGGGAATCCTCTGAAGGGGGAGGGGTTAAGGGTGAACATTGTACTGTAGTCTTCAGAAACATCATAGGGACAAGGGAGGGGGGGGGATTCAATAAAGCACCAATTTGACGGCAGCGCGCCCTTTTAAAAGGCCAGAATTGCTGGCTTTACCAAAATTTTTGACAGATTCAGGTAGTTCTTTATAAAAAAAAAATGGTGGGTGAACTCATCATTTAATCATTTATATTTGCCTCTTTTACCAACAGAGCAGCTTGAAGCCTTGAAGAAAATGATGGAGTCTGGGGACACCGTGGCACCAGCCAGCATCCTGGAAGATGACATCGAGGAAGAGACAGAAAATGGTAGGCATGGAAAGAACTACGATTAAACCCCTTGGCGCCGGCGCCTCCCGGCCCTTTAAGAGTTTCAGAAGCCAGGAGGCGGGGCAGGGTTTTATGCAGGCCATAGACAGGCCGTCTTCTTCTTCCTCCTCCCTCTCCCCCTCCTCTTCCTCCTCCTCTTCCTCCTCCTCTTTCTCTTCCTCCTCCTCCTCTTTCTCTCATCCTCCTCCTCTTTCTCTTCTCCTCCTCCTCCTTCTCTTCCTCCTCCCCTTCCTCTTCCTCCTCCTCCTCCTCTTCCTCCTCCCCTTCCTCTTCCTCCTCCTCTTCCTCCTCCTCTTCCTCCTCCTCCTCCTCTTCCTCCTCCTCCTCCTCTTCCTCCTCCTCCTCTTCCTCCTCCTCCTCTTCCTCCTCCTCCTCTTCCTCCTCCTCCTCTTCCTCCTCCCTCCTCCTTCCTCCTCCTCCTCTTCCTCCTCCTCCTCCTCCCCTTCCTCTCCTCCCCTTCCTCTTCCTCCTCCTCCTTCTCCTCCCCTTCCTCTTCCTCCTCCTCTTCCTCTTCCTCCCCCTCTTCTTCCTCTTCCCCCTCCTCTTCCTCTTCCTGCTCCTCCTCTTCCTCCTCCTTCTTCTTCTGCTCTTCCTCCTCCTCCTCCTCTTCTTCCTCTTCCCCCTCCTCTTCCTCTTCCTGTTCCTCCTCCTTTCCTTCCTCTTCCTCCTCCTCCTCCTCTTCCTCCTTCTCCTCTTCTTTCTTCTCCCCTTCCTCCTCCTCTTCCTCCTCCTCTTCCTCCTCCTCCTCCTCCTCCTCCCCTTCCTCTTCCTCCTCCCCTTCCTCTTCCTCTCCTCTTCCTCTTCCCCTTCCTCTTCCCCTTCCTCTTCCTCCTCCTCCTCTTCCTCTCCTCCTCCTCCTCTTCTTCCTCTTCCTCCTAAAAAAACCCACTAACAGTGCGAAAATCGGCCAATTTTTGACTCGTCTATGGCCGGCATTATGGTCATGTGACCACTGTGATTCACCATCAAAGGTCCCGATCGCAAGGGGAGATCGGGACCTTTCCGTGAGTCACAGACCTATGTGCTGTGCGCGTGCTCTCAGCACATATGTATTTTCTAACGGCATGCAATTATGCGTCCACGTCCAGACACCGAGAGGCCGCGTATTTGCGTGCGCTCGGTGTCTAGGGGTTGATATGATACAACTGAAGTTTAGATGATTAAAGATACTGCGAGCAATTGAGGGACGCAATGTCGCACCACATCCCTAGTACATACAAGTACAAGTCTATGGCGGTGAAGAGAGATTGTGGGATTTTATAGGCGCACAGTAATAACTAGAAAATCACTTTCGAACATTTTCACAATTTATTAAAATTCCATTTAAAGTAAAACCAATTACACCAAACTTCACAATCGCGAGACGCTTGACTGTTTAGTGCACAGATGATACTTCCCAACATTTTTTGCCCGACTTTGGCTTCTTCAGAGGGAAAAAAAAAAATGGACAGCACAGTGGCTAAGTGGTTAGCACTTCCGCCTGGCAGTACTCGGGTCGTTGGTTTGAATCCCAGCCACGGAGCCACCGGCCTGGAGTTTGCATGTTCTCCCTGTGCCTGCGTGGGTTTCCTCCAGGTACTCCGGTTTCCTCCCACACTCCAAAGACATGCTGGTAGGTGAATTGGCTCCTGTCTAAATTGTCCCTAGTATGTGTATGTATGAATGTGAGTTAGGGACCTTAGATTGTACGCCCCTTGAGGGTCAGGGACTGATGTGAATGTACAATATATATGTAAAGTGCTGCGTAAATTGACGGCGCTATATAAGTACCCGAAATAAATAAAAGGGTATCCACAATACAGTCTCTTGGGAGTCTCAACTTCTGTATTGCTCTTGGAATGTTGAATAGGGGACTCAAGCATCCATGTGGTTGCAGAAGACGCACAGAGGACCGGATTCTGGGTGTCACGGGTCTGCCATGCTAGCATGGATTCAGTACTACGAGCGATGTGTCCACGATGCGTGCCGCCGATGGTTAAGTGCAACAAAGTTTGCCGGATCTTACCCTAGGTTCACACCTATGCAGTTGCGTTTGATCCATTTCTGCTGTGCTTTTCGTGGTGCATTTTGCGTTTTTTTGCACGCGTTTTTTAATGCGTTTTTGCAGTGTTTTACATTTTTGCGGGGGGGGGGGGTGTTTCATTTTTAATTTTAATTAGGGGAGGTGTTAGTAGTGAAGCATGTTAAAAATGCAAAACGCATCTAAAACGCAACAAAAACGCTGCACTTGCGTTTTAGATGCAGTTTCATTGAAATCTGTTGTCCAAAAAAACACAAGCCGCAGCGGGAAAAGAAGTCCCTGACCCTTTCTAAAAAACGCGCCCGCAAAAACCGCACAGATGTGAACGTGATCCATAGGAAATAATGTTAAATGGCATGCACTGCGTTCCTGCAAAACACGTATAAAAACGCGGATATGTGAACCAGGGGTGACTGTGTCTCAATGCTGGAACATTACCCATGTGCACCTAAACTCCTTAACCCCTTGGAGTCGGCGCCTCCCGGCCCTTTAAGGGTTTCAGAAGCCAGGAGGAGGGGTTTTAGGGTCATGTGACCACCGTGATTCGCCGTCACATGATCGAAAAAGGTCCCGATCGAAAGAGGAGATCGGGACCTTTCCGTGAGTACCGGGCGTGTGCTGGGAGCGTGCGCACTCTCAGCACATACTGTATGTTTTTCTTAATTGCACACAAATGTGCGGCCGCTCGGCGTCTAGGCCCAGACGCCGGGAGGCCGCACATTTGTGTGCGGCTGGTGTAAAGAGGTTAAACATATGTGTGAGCATGGACACGTAGGCCAACATGGAGGGGCGTTTGAAGGCAGGAGAAAAACGCCAAACACCTCTAACACTGGCATTTTTTATGCCCAACGTGCATGGACCCCAAGACCACACTCCTCATTATAACATCCTGACCACTGACGGGTAAAGTGAAGAGCATTGATTATCATATTATAATGGTACTTGTAATGGGATGGGAGAAATTAGGCAGCAAGTGAACATGTTGTCCCTGAAGTTGATGTGTTGAAAGCAGAAAAAAATGGGCAAGTCTGAGTGACTTTGACAAAGGCCAAATTATAATGGCTAGACAAATGTGTTAGGACAACTCCAAAAACTGCAGCTCTTGTGGGATGTTCCCATTCAGGACCGACCAAAGTAGTCCAAGGAAGGAAAAGGGGTCATGATACACATGGGGAGCAAAGGCTGGCCTGTGTGTAGTCCAATCCAATAGAAGAGGTACTGGAGCTCAAATTCTGAAAAACTGAATGCTGGTTCTGATAGAAAGGTGTCAGAACACACATTGTATCGTAGTTTGTTGTGTATGGGGCTGAGTAGCTGCAGACCGGTCAGGATGTCCATGCTGACCCATGTTCACAGCCAAAAGTGCCTACAATGGGCAGGTGAGCAATGAATGAAGTTGGCCTGGTTAGAGGAATTCAGGAATGGTTTGAGGAACAAAACAGCAAGTTTGAGATGTTGACTTGGCCTTCAAATTCTCCAGATCTCAATCCATCGGGCATCTGTGGGATGTGCTGGAAAAACAAGTCCGATGACCCATGGAGGCCCACCTTGCAACTTACAGGACTTAAAGGATCTGCTACTGGCGGCTTGGTGTCAGATACCACAGCGTACCTTCAGAGGTCTAGTAGAGTCCATGCCTCAATGAGTTGTGGTGGGTGGTCATTTTAGTATGGTGGTTCGGTGTAGATGGTAAGGGAGGTTCAGGTGTCACTTGTCAGGAAGCCATGTGAAGCCTCCACGTGTCTGGTATAAACACCTGTGTTCTTTCTTATCAGCTGATCAAGAGGAAGAAGCCCATCCCGAGTATAAGTTTGGAAGTGAACTTTCAGCAGAGGACCTCAGCCAAAAAGAAGCTGCAGCTAACAGTGCAAAAAAGGTAATGGTTGTCTGTTTATTTGTATCATGAATTGATTTTGGTATGCGTTGTGTCCCTCCATTTTCAGGTCCACTATATGGCCAAAAAGTATGTGGAACCACCTCCACGATATGGAGTTCTGGTGTTTCCTGTAAAGGGTTCTTATAAAGTCTATCTCCAGGTTTACCTTGACTTTAAATAGTTCGTTTGGGCCAGCTTGGCCCAGACAAACTATTTTCTTTGCTCATAGATGCGCCCGCTATCAGCACTGTAGGAACTGTACTGAACATCTGCTACATACAGGCAGTCCTTGGGTTGCGAACAAGATAGGTTCTGTAGGTTTGTTCTTAGTCCTCACACACACGGAACGTTTTGATAACGCTGGTAACGTTAGCTGTGTAAAGTCACGTTAAAAACGTGGGTTTTTCAGCCTTTTTTTAGCAGTTAGCGGAGTTTTTCCCCCCCCGTTTTTTTTTTTTCCACTTTTGCTGTTTTTTTAGTGGATTTTTTGACCAGAAGAACATTTTTTGGGGTCAAAAAAGTCCAAACACACCGGTTTGCGGCAGTTTACTGTGTTTTGCCGCGTTTTACAGCTGAAACACCTACTACTTTTGGGGGTTTTTTCCAGCCAAAAAACGTTGATTACAGCCTATGTGTGCATGGACACATAGGAGAACATGCTGGGGATGGACACATAGGATAACATGCTGGGGATGGACACATAGGAGAACATGCTGGGGATGGACACATAGGAGAACATGCTGGGGATGGACACATAGGAGAACATGCTGGGGATGGACACATAGGAGAACATGCTGGGGATGGACACATAGGAGAACATGCTGGGGATGGACACCTAGGAGAACATGCTGGGGATGGACACCTAGGAGAACATGCTGGGGATGGACACATAGGAGATAAACATGCCATAGGGGGATGGACACATAGGAGAACATGCTGGGGATGGGGGACACCTAGGAGAACATGCTGGGGATGGACACATAGGAGAACATGCCGGGGATGGACACCTAGGAGAACATGCCGGGGATGGGACACCTAGGAGAACATGCTGGGGATGGACACATAGGAGAACATGCTGGGGATGGACACATAGGATAACATGCCGGGGATGGACACATAGGAGAACATGCCGGGGATGGACACATAGGAGAACATGCCGGGGATGGACACATAGGGAGAACATGCCGGGGATGGACACATAGGAGAACATGCTGGGGATGGACACATAGGAGAACATGCTGGGGATGGACACATAGGAGAACATGCTGGGGATGGACACATAGGATAACATGCTGGGGATGGACACATAGGAGAACATGCTGGGGATGGACACATAGGAGAACATGCTGGGGATGGACACATAGGATAACATGCTGGGGATGGACACATAGGAGAACATGCTGGGGATGGACACATAGTATAACATGCTGGGGATGGACACATAGTATAACATGCTGGGGATGGACACATAGGATAACATGCCGGGGATGGACACATAGGAGAAACATGCGGGGATGGACACATAGGAGAACATGCGCCGGGGATGGACACATAGGATAACACGCCGGGGATGGACACATAGGAGAACATGCCGGGGATGGACACATAGGAGAACATGCCGGGGATGGACACATAGGAGAACATGCCGGGGATGGACACATAGGAGAACATGCTGGGGATGGACACATAGGAGAACATGCTGGGGATGGACACATAGGATAACATGCTGGGGATGGACACATAGGATAACATGCTGGGGATGGACACATAGGATAACATGCTGGGGATGGACACATAGGATAACATGCCTGGGATGGACACATAGGATAACATGCCTGGGATGGACACATAGGATAACATGCCAGGGATGGACACATAGGATAACATGCCAGGGATAGACACATAGGATAACATGCTGGGGGGGTTTATTGACTGTAGAAAAAACCACCAAGCACCAAAAACAGCCGCTGTAAAAACATCCCGTGTGCATGAGGGCTCAAGTTGTATTTGTATGTAAGTTGGAACAGGTACATTTTTTAAGTGTAACTCCAGCCAAAAAAATGTTTTACTTTTCGAATTCATAGGGAAGAGGTAACTGTCCATACAGTGATGGCTGCCCTGCAGTTTCTGGGACGTCCGTGACGTCACGCTGCCTCCGTTCTTATGTATGAGTTGGATGTTTAGGCCAGCAGCGGTACAGGGACTTCCCGTTCTGTTCCCAGAGCAAAATGAACACAAGACTTCCTCTGATTGGCCGAGGTGAAAATCATGATGTCATTCACCCACCTCTTCACCTTAACCAATCAGAGGAAGCCTTATAATCATTCGTGAAAATAAAAGGCTTCCTCTGAATGACTCAGCTTCTTATTGCACAGAGGGGATCTGTGACTAGGAAGATCCTAAGGTCTGACTCCAGCCCTTCTATACTGGAAAGTTTACAGTTAAGTTTTCATTAACAGCCCCCGTAATGGGGCCCCCTTCCTACCCCAGGCCCCATAACAGCCATATTGGCTTCTACAGCTATTGTTGCATCAAAGACTGTGTCTCTGTGCACAACGCCTGGGCCATAAATAGATGATCAATGGGTTTGGTGTGAAAGAACTTGAGTGGCCTGCAAAGAGTCCTGAGCTCAACCCTACTGATGATGAATTAGAATGCTGATTGCCAACCAAATCTTCCCATCCAACTTTAAAACGATATTCAAAGCCTTGAATATGCCAGTCAATCCTGTTCAATCACTTATTAAGAAGTGGAAAATTCAGAAATCTCTTGATACCAAGCCAAAGTCAGGTAGACCAAGAAAGATTGAAGTCTCAACTGCCAGAAGAATTGTTCAGGATTCAAAGAAAAACCCCACAGGTAACCTCAAGAGAAATACAGGCTGCTCTGGGAAAAGACAGCGTGGTTGTTTTTAAGAAGCACAACACTACGCAACTTGAACAAACATGAGCTGCATGGTCGAGTTGCTAGAAAGAAGCCTTTACTGAGCCAATGGCTGACAAAAGCCCAGTGAGGCGTGTCAAGGTGTTGTCGGACATATTGTAACCGGGCTTTTGTAAACCAAACAACTATGTGATAATAAATGGCTTCAAAGGATCTCTATCCATAAATAAGACTGTTTTTTTGGCATGATCAGTCATATATTCAATATCAATGCCAAAATTTCACGATTTCTGCCAGGGGAGGAGAACTTTTGAGCCCAACTGTATACATATACATACAGAAAGTGACAGAATGTTTACAGAGGTGACACCATTGAAAGGCTCATCAATGACAGGATAGCACTCTTTTCAATGGTGTCATCTCCATAAACATTCTGTAGTCTTCTATGGATGTCAGACAGCCTGCACCCCTCCTTCATCAAGAACTCAATGATGGCACATTGCTTGGAATCCATTGTTTACCTGCAATGAAAAAGAAGAAGAGTTACTATAGAGGAAGAGTTACTATAGAGGAAGAGTTACTATAGGGGAAGAGTTACTATAGGGGAAGAGTTACTATAGGGGAAGAGTTACTATAGAGGAAGAGTTACTATAGAGGAAGAGTTACTATAGAGGAAGAGTTACTATAGGGGAAGAGTTACTATAGAGGAAGAGTTACTATAGTTACTATAGGAAGAGTTACTATAGGGGAAGAGTTACTATAGGGGAAGAGTTACTATAGGGGAAGAGTTACTATAGGGGAAGAGTTACTATAGGGGAAGAGTTACTATAGGGGAAGAGTTACTATAGGGGAAGAGTTACTATAGGGGAAGAGTTACTATAGAGGAAGAGTTACTATAGGGGAAGAGTTACTATAGAGGAAGAGTTACTCTACCAACATGGGAAATTTGAACAACCTATGTAAGTTAATAAAAAAGTTATACCCACTTTTGCATTACTTTCAGTACAGCCCTCGTATAAACTATATATTACCAAAAAAAAAAGGCAGTTGACTAATTTAAATATACTGCTCCCTGGAGTATGAAGGTAAAGAACTGTCCATGTGTCTGTATTTATGGTTCCCATTGGCTGTATCAGTGGTTCGGTGATGGATATAGTCCTGTAATCTGGGAAAAGATGGGAGCTTTAGAGGCTGGTACAGCCCTTAGTGACACTTTTTTTAATATATCTAATATTGTCTTTTTCATTTTTTTAGGCTGTGGAAGACTCTGAACCAGAAAACAATAATAAAAAGGTGACAGCTCATTAGCTATTTATTTTGCATGTATAACATATGATTCATTTTTACCAAGGGACAGATAGACAATGGGAGAAACCATGTATAAATATAGATTTATAGCACCTTAGGCACCCATTGCTTCCATTCATTACCTGATGGAGATATCCATACATTGGTAGAGAAGGTCAGAAAACAGAGGTGTCCTGGTGCTCATGTCTATGGGATACAAGCTATTTAGGTCTGACTCCTAATTGTTTGCAGCTAGTTGAGGAGCCATATACAATCGCTTTATTGGCTGTCTTTATGCTATAGATTTATAGCACTTTAGGTACCCATTGCTTCCATTCATTACCTGATGGAGATGTCCATACATTGGTAGAGAAGGGTAGAAAACAGAGGTGCCCTGGTGCCCCTGTATATGGGATACAAGCTATTTAGGTCTGACTCCTAATTGTTTCCAGCTAGTTGAGGAGCCATTTTCAAAAGCTTCGCTTTATTGGGTGTCTTTATGCTATAGATTTATAGCACTTTAGGTACCCATTGCTTCCATTCATTACCTGATGGGGATGTCCATACATTGGTAGAGAAGGTCAGAAAACAGAGGTGCCCTGGTGCTCATGTCTATGGGATACAAGCTATTTAGGTCCGACTCCTAATTGTTTCCAGCTAGTTGAGGAGCCATATACAAAATCTTCGCTTTATTGGCTGTCTTTATGCTATAGATTTATAGCACCTTAGGTACCCATTGCTTCCATTCATTACCTGATGGAGATGTCCATACATTGGTAGAGAAGGTCAGAAAACAGAGGTGCCCTGGTGCTCATGTCTATGGGATACAAGCTATTTAGGTCTGACTCCTAATTGTTTCCAGCTAGTTGAGGAGCCATATACAATCGCTTTATTGGCTGTCTTTATGTTGTCCAGCATCCAATATGTGTGTATTGATGTCTGTGGCTGTGCATGTTCCTTTGGAAGGAACACATCCTACCCTAGCACCTAAAGACCATCGGAAGCCAAACTGTTTTTGTGGGTAGAGAATGGAATGGTAAAGCACATGTCTGGCCTTTTTTGCCATCTGTGTCCCATTGACGAGACAATGCTCTCTTGGCTTCCAGAAAAGTTTTGTTGGGTCTTTCGATGTTTTTTTGTCCTCAGAATGCATGGTGAACCACCAATCATGAAGCAGGTCCATATACATAAGTAGGAACTCTGTTCTAGTGTATTGAGCAACCATTGTCGACCAGGTTCTGTAGGACGGCAATGAAGAACAAAAACAAAAGCGCCCCAACCTTGCGCATTACCTCAGTAAAAAAAAAGTGATTTTATTGAATTAAGATATATGCTCACAAAAGTGGCAATGTATAAGGCATATAAAATCCAAAATTGGAACACTGGAGTAGGAAACGCGTGCAAATCCCATCGAGAGGGGAGACTCTCAGGGTGAAGCTGGCACGTTTCGAAAGGGAGCTGAGGAACAAGGGATCTCCCGTCAGCTTCACCCTGAGAGGCTCCCCTCTCGATGGGATTTGCACGTGTCTCCTACTCCAGTGTTCCGATTTTGGATTTTATATGCCTTATACATTGCCACTTTTGTGAGCATATATCTTAATTCAATAAAATCACTTTTTTTACTGAGGTAATGCGCAAGGTTGGGGCGCTTTTGTTTTTGTTCTTCATTGCAGTTTATGTCGGGCTTCCCCAGCCTTGTGCAAGAGCTGCACAACCTTTGATCCATTGATGGACAAACTTTCATAGTAATTGATCCATCCACCCACTTGGTCCCTGAGTGCAGGAGGTGTTGTTTTTGTTTTCACAGGTTCTGTAGGACCCCAGGGTTCCTCTAGCGCAGCCTTTCTCAACCAGGGTTCCATGAACCTTAGGGTTCCTCCAGAGGTTTCTAGGGGTTCTGAGCAATGAGCAACTTCTGCCTCTCATATGAGTAATTCCTGAGACCAATTATCCTTTTAGCTATACAGTATGTAAAGGGAAATTCTTCTTAGTGGCCACAAATGTAAGGTATTCTTCGCAGCAACCATCACACATGTATGGCAAGTTGTAGATATAGAACTTATTACCAGGGGTTTCTTAGCCCTACAAAGTTATTTCAGGGGTTCCTCCAGGTTAAAAATGTCAAAGAAGGCTGATCAAGAGGATTCTAGGGTTTCCATGAGCTGTGGCTGATGAGCCTCTCAACTGATGGTGCCTGTACAGTTCTGGGGTCAGTGCCACTTGGCAAGGCCAGCAGCATGAATGGTCTTTTTAGCTTTCTCTAATGGCTCAATCATAGGTGTGGCAGCCCTTTTAGAGTCATTTGAAAGGCAGTGAGAAGGTTATATGTCACCTTCTCACTGCCTGTTTCAACCCTGAAAACGCTGACACACCACACCACACCATGGTCCCATTCACTTGAATGGGTCTCTTTCGATGGTGATACCACCAGCCAAATGCACTATGCCGATCAATGCTACGTGTGCAGCCCTGAGCAGCTGCACACCTTTGTTTAGGTGGGCGGTCGAGGGACCACCTGCTTTTACCGCCTCCTGGCCACTTGTGTGAATAAGCTCTTATGATGCTATTTTGACCACCGTTGTAAAGGAGGCATCCTTCCTACTAGCCATCAATGTAAGGGGGGCTATATTACCACTAACCCTCAGTGTACAAAGGCATTCTTCCCACTGGCCACCAATGTAAGGAGTATTCTCCCACTGGCCACCAATGTAAGGAACATTCTTCCCACTGATCACCAATGTAAGGAGCATTCTTCCCACTGACCTCCAGTGTAAGAAGCATTCTCCCACTGGCCACCAACCTAAGGAGCATTATTTCTATTGACAACCAATGTAAAGAGCATTCTCCCATTGGCCACCAATGTAGGGGGCATTCTTCCCAGTGGTCATCAATGTAAGAGGCATTTTTCCCACTGGCCACCAATGTAAGGAGCATTCTCCCACTGGCCACCAATGTAAGGAGCATTCTCCCACTGGCCACCAATGTAAGGAGCATTCTCCCACTGGCCACCAATGTAAGGAGCATTCTCCCACTGGCCACCAATGTAAGGAGCATTCTCCCACTGGCCACCAATGTAAGGGACATTCTTTCCACTGGCCACCAATGTAAGGGGCATTCTTCCCACTGGCCACCAATGTAAGGGGCATTCTTCCCACTGGCCACCAATGTAAGGGGCATTCTTCCCAGTAGCCACCAATGAAGGGGGAATTCTTCCCACTGGCCACCAATGTAAGGGACATTCTTCCCAGTGGCTACCAATAGCAGGAGCATTCTTCCTACTGGCCACCAATGTAAGGGGCATGCTTCCCACTGGCCACCAATGTAATGAACATTCTTCCTACTGGCCACCAATGTCAGGAGCATTCTTCTTACTGGCCACCAATAGAAGGGGCATTCTTCCTACTGGCCACCAATGTCAGGAGCATTCTTCTTACTGGCCACCAATGTAAGGGACATTCTTCCTACTGGCCACCAATATAAAAGGTATTCTCCTCACTGACCACCAATGTAAGGGGATATTTTTCCCTCTAACCATCAACATAGCGCCATTTTCCCCCACTGACTACCAATGGTTTCATTTTAGAAGTGGTTCCTCAAGACCTACACTTTGCTGTAAGGCTTCCTCTGGGGTAGAAAGGGTTGAGAATGGCTGGTGTAGTTTGTAGAAGGAAATCTAGGGAAGTTAAAATGTATGTTATAAGATGTTAGAGAATCCATCAATGGGCACACATAGCCAGTCAAGACAAGGGAAGTTTGTGTAAAACTAAGAGAATATTCTCCCTGTGGATTAGATCTGGTTGGGCCACGTAAGGGGGGGCGGCTGGTTAATATTCTGCTCCAGTCCTAGAAACCTATATTAAATGGAATCATTTTCAACATTGAATGTATTGTTATCTCTTTAGGGTCAAGCAACCGTGGATGATGAACAAGCATGGATGGCCAGTTATAAATATGTAGGAGCCACAACCAATATACATCCGTTTCTGTCAGCGATGATCAACTACGCCCAGCCAGTAAAGTTCCAGAGCTTTAAAGTGGCAGAAGGTGATGAACTCCATGCTAGTGTGAACATGTAGTATACAGTGTGATATGTATAAAAGAAGTAACAATTTGTAAATGTTTTTAAACCCACAACAGTACAATCGGTCTGTATATGCAGTAAAGCATGCTTGTTATACTCACTGTGGAACCTAAGGGGTTAATCCACTGCATTGTGTAAAAAGGCTGTTTGATCCTATCTTCTCTGATCCTCCCCTTCTTCCAGTGTCCCCCTCTTATCTCCTGATAAGACAAATCGGGTGGAGTCACTCTGCACATGCTCAGTTTGGTGTGCATTGCTAGAGTTTTTTTGGGGGTTTTTTCTTGGGAGAGTGCATGTTATCAGCGCAGGGCCAATCAGTGCTGTCCAGACAGAGGTCAGGGGTTCTGCATCCTCCCAAAGCTGAAAACTCCTCCTACAAGCGTCAGCCAGTGCTCTGCTGGACACTGATAGAAGTCACATGACTGCTATATACTGCTGATGAGAAAAGGTATTTAGCAGTTTATATTTAATATAATAATTATATTTCCATGTTGTGTGTACTGTGGGAGACCAGATATAGTGAATGCAGGGTCCGGGGAGACCGGATATAGTGAATGCAGGGTCCGGGAGAGACCGGATATAGTGAATGCAGGGTCCGGGGAGACCGGATATAGTGAATGCAGGGTCCGGGGAGACCAGATATAGTGAATGCAGGGTCCGGGGAGACCAGATATAGTGAATGCAGGGTCCGGGGAGACCAGATATAGTGAATGCAGGGTCCGGGGAGAGTGTATATAGTAAATGCAGGGTCCGGGGAGACCGGATATAGTGAATGCAGGGTCCAGGGAAGAGTGGATATAGTAAATGCAGGGTCCGGGGAGACCGGATATAGTGAATGCAGGGTCCGGGGAGACCGGATATAGTGAATGCAGGGTCCGGGGAGACCAGATATAGTGAATGCAGGGTCGGGGAGAGCGGATATAGTGAATGCAGGGTCCGGGGAGAGTGTATATAGTAAATGCAGTGTCCGGGGAGACCGGATATAGTGAATGCAGGGTCCGAGGAGAGCGGATATAGTGATTGCAGGGTCCAGGGAGAGCAGATATAGTGAATGCAAGGTCCGGGGAGACCAGATATAGTGAATGCAGGGTCCGGGGTTTAACAACACTTTAATGTGGAAAAAATGTAAAAAAAAAAGAGACACTGAGGGGAACTGACTGACTGCCACTGACATCCCTAGTGACACCAATACAGTGATCAGTGCTAATAAAAAGCACCGACACTGTACTAATGGCACTGGGCAGGAAAAGGTTAATATGTGGGAGATCAAATGGTTAACTGTGTGTTGTACTATGTAAGCATTCTGCTTTGTACGGCTCTGCTATGCAGAGCCGTACAAAGCAGAATTCTGGTGCTGACAGGGGAGAGATCTGTATTGTTTACATACAGACCCCTCCCCCATCAGTGATACGCGCCCCCTACCCGGAAATACAAAATCGTGTATATATATATATATATACGTGATTTTGTGCAGCCCTGCCTCCCTGTAGCAGTATTTCTACTATAGGATGGAGGGAAGCGGTTAAGAAGGAGAGTATAGAAAAAGATAAAATGATGGGACTGCTATTAGCAATACATCCACTAGAGGGAGCTATGTTGCTGCTGCTAAATATTGAAGAGCATGCCATTAGCAGCAGAAGAATCTGCAAATATGAGAATCAGTGATTGTGGAACGACTGTAAATATTATAAACATTACATTTTCTCTTTCAGAGAAGAACATCCATTACAACATGTCTTCTTTTAATGAATCGGTTGGATTGGGGTATTTGAAGACACATGCCATTGAGTTTGTAAAGTATCCTTTTTTGTGGGTTTTCTGTATTATTTTTACTAATATTGTTATAACAAATGTAGATAGTGCAAACAGTTTGCACAGCACTTTACCGAAGAAAGGGTAGGAGGGTCACGGTCGCAAGAGCTTACAATCTAAAAGGGAGGGACAAGTGAAACAAAAAGGTACAGGTGTGTCTATACAGGTACATCGCTCTGTAGGTGACACCGGACCTTTGTCTTTCCATATATCAGCACTAGAGGGTTAAAAAAAGTATATAAAAAAATTATATATATATATATATATATATATACACACATATACATATACACAGTACATATATATAAATATATTTAAAGAAAATATAAATAAAAAAAATATATATATACAGTGTGTGTGTATTATTATTATTATTACTACGAGTTTATATAGCGCCAAAGGGTTTGCTCAGCGCTGTACAATAGAGGGGGGGGGACAATACATGGCACAGTACAACAACAACAAACAACGTACGAGGGGTAAGAGGGCCCTACTCTTACGAGCTTACAATCTAGTGTATGTATGTATGTATATATATATATATATATATATATATATATATATAATAAATATAAATTAAAAAGTGTGTGTGTGTATATATGTGTGTGTGTGTGTGTGTGTGTGTTTGTTTGTGTATATATATATATATATACACAGTACATTTATATAAATAAGAAAATTATATATAAAATATACAGTGCACACACATATATATATATATACACACATACAGTTGCAAGAAAAAGTATGTGAACCCCTTGGGATTACATGGAGTTTTGCATGAATTGGGCATAAAATGTCCTCTGAACGTCATCTAAGTCACAACAATAGAAGAACACAGTTTGCTGAACATAATACTACACAAACATTAGATGTTGCCATGGTTTAATTGCACATAACATGTAAACATTCACAGTGCAGGGAGGAAAAAGTATGTGAACCTTTGGACTTAATAACTGGTTGACCCTCCTTTGGCAGCAATTACCTCAACCAAACGTTTCCTGTAGTTGCAGATCAGACCTGCACAACGATCTGGAGTCATTTTGGACCACTCCTCTTCACAAAACTGTTTCAGTGTAGCAATATTCTTGGGATGTCTGGTGTGAATCGCTCTCTTAAGGTCATGCCACAGCATTTCAATGGGGTTGAGGTCAGGACTCTGACTGGGCCACTCCAGAAGGCGTATTCTGTGCTTTTGCAGCCATTGTTTTGTTGAATGACTTGTATGCTTTGGGTCATTGTCCTGTTGCATCACCCATCCTCTGCGGCGGAGCTTCAGTTGGCGGACAGATGGTCGTACGTTTTCCTGCAAAATGTCTTGATAAACTCTGGAATTCATTTTCCCATCAATGACAACAATCCGTCCAGGCCCTGAGGCAGCAAAGCAGCCCCAAACCATGATGCTCCCTCCGCCATGTTTCACAGTGGGGATGAGGTTTTGATGTTGGTGTGCTGTGCCTTTTTTTCTCCACACATAGTGTTGTGTGTTCTTCCCAAACAACTCAATCTTGGTTTCATCTGTCCACAGTATATTTTGCCAGTAGTGCTGTGGAACATCCAGGTGCTCTTTTGCAAACTTCAAACGTGCTGCAATATTCTTTGTGGACAGCAATGGCTTCCTCCGTGGTGTCCTCCTATGTACTCCATTCTTGTTTAATGTTTTCCTTATTGTAGATGTGTCAACAAAATGTTAGCATGTGCCAGAGATTTCTGTAGGTCTTTAGCTGACACTCTGGGATTCTTCTTTACCTCATGCAGCATTCTGCGCTGTGCTCTTGCAGTCATTTTTACAGGACGACCGCGCCTAGGGAGAGTAGCAACAGTGCTAAACTTTCTCCATTTGTAGACAGTCTGTCTTACCGTGGACACATGAACATCAAGGCTTTTGGAGATACTTTTGTAACCCTTTCCAGCTTCATGCAAGTCAACAATCCTTGATCGTAGGTCTTCTGAGAGCTCTTTTCTGCGAGGCATGGTTCACATCAGACAGTGCTTCTTGAAACCAGTAAACCCAAAACAGGTGTGTGTTTTTTAAGGGCAGGACAGCTGTCAGCAACACATCCAATATCATCACACTGATTGGAGTCAAGGTTGGCTCACTCCTGGCTCCAATTAGCTCTGGGAGAAGTCATTAAGCTAGGGCCTCACATACTTTTTCCTCCCTGCACTGTGAATGTTTACATGTTATGTGCAATAAACCATGGCAACATCTAATGTTTGTGTAGTATTATGTTCAGCAGACTGTGTTCTTCTATTGTTGTGACTTAGATGACGTTCAGAGCACATTTTATGCCCAATTCATGCAAAACTCCACGTAATCCCAAGGGGTTCACATACTTTTTCTTGCAACTGTACATACATATATATATATATATATATATATATATATATATATATAAAAAATATACAGTGCATATATATATTAGTTGTATATATTCATTACGTGATTGCCTGCGATTCCAGATCAGGCTTAAAATGTGGGTGTCATTCATTGTTAATGCCCCCCCCCCCCTCCAAATGCGGTCAGCGAACATGCATTTTACCGCATTCTTTGCCATGTGACAAATGCACTACGTAAATCTCCAAAACACACGTTGAAAAAAACGCACAATGCAAAAGGGTACATTTTGGCATTTTGTCGCTATTTTTTTAATGCATATTTTGGTGCGTTTTGTTTTTCTTCTTACATGTGTTTTTAGAACTTTTTTCTGTGCATTTTGGTTCTTTTTTAAAACACATTTTGGCTCTTTTTTTTAACACTTCTCTGCAGTAACATGTTTTTGTGCGCATTCCAGAAACGCATGCAGAACGCATGTCACGCTTGCCGTGCAATTTATTCTTAATGACACCCCCAAACGCAGCTAGCAGATTCAAGTTTTGCCAAAATGCACATAAAAAAAGTGCCAAACGTGCGTTTAAAATCTCCAAAAAGAAACGCCAAAATATGTGTAAAAAAACCACACCAAAATGTGTGATAAAAAACCTGCGCCAAAATGCATGTTATAAATGCACCAAAACACGCACAATAAAAGCGACAAAATGCACAATAATAAAAACGCACAAAATCGCGTGCAAAAAAGCACCAAAATGTGTGTTAAAACCTCCAAAATACGCATTTGAAGAATGCGACACAATGTGTGATTTAAAGAAAAACACGCCAAAATACATGTCGCCAAAAAGCCCCAGTGCCTATGACCCCGGTCATACCAGTGCGACTTGTCATGCGATTCGATAGTTTCAAATCGCATGACAAGTTGCATCCTATTATCCGCAATGGATATATCGGTGCGATTCTGACTTTGTCGGAGTCGCACTGATTTTAAAAGTCGGGCATAGACACCAAGTCGCACCTGAAGTCGCACTGACATCCGACTTTGGAATCTTGCGACTTCCCCCTCCTACACAGATCGGGATTATCCGCAGCGGGGGGTTTTTGGTGGACAGCTACCCCATTCGATGCAAAGGAGGGCTGACAGCGCCTGCAGCCATTTTCGGCTGCTCATATGTAATCGAGCGTTCAGCGATTAACTGCAGATGTTCGGCTCCAGATGCAGTCAGTCTGCGCCCAGCGCCAATCATCTGCAGGTAATCACTGCATGACCTATATGGTTTAATTTTTGCTGTGGAAGTAAAGCATCACAACCACAGAGATTTTATAGGATGAACAGCGTTTCAAATATTTTACAAACACACCTCTTTGGGTGGTAAAAGCAGGCTGGTTCGGTTAAAACACAGTTTTACCCCCCCCCGCATAACAGCGGGGGGGGGGGGGGGGGTAAAACTGTGTTTTAACCGAACCAGCCTGCTTTTACCACCCAAAGAGGTGTGTTTGTAAAATATTTGAAACGCTGTTCATCCTATAAAATCTCTGTTACATTTCCTCTGTGCTAATAGGGGCAAAAACAAATGTTAGGCTATTTCCTCTCCAAGTCGAATGTTATTCATTCATACAAATAAATCTTATGGCGACTATATGGAGCTGATGAACTTTATAAATAAATACTTCTCCTGTGATCGTCAGCTCCATCTAGTGGCCATAATGTGGTATTTTCCTAATTTACCCCAAACCTGTAGGAAGAATAACATTCGACCTGGAGGAGAAACTAGCCTGATAACAACATTTGTATTTGCCCCTATTCACAAATAACGAGTGTATATACAGTGTCAGAGGACCTATAGCACCCCAATCACCAATCAGACTGAAACCTGCCTTGGAAGTTGGAGTTTTATTGTTCGTGCACCTGTGAGGTGCTCTCTGGAATCTTGCTGCAGGCGACCACATAGGCCTTATAGGTCAACTGATTGGTGATCCGGGAAGTAAAAAGCAGACATACATGGCACAGCACAGCAGGTCAATTGGTGATCCGGGAAGTAGAGAGCGGACATACATGGCACAGCAGGTCAACTGATTGGTGATCCGGGAAGTAGAGAGCGGACATACATAGCACAGCAGGTCAACTGGTGATCCGGGAAGTAGAGAACGGACATACACAGCACAGCAGGTCAACTGGTGATCCGGGATTAGAGGGACAAGCAGGTTAATTGATTCGTGGTACATGGACATACATAGCACAGCAGGTCAACTGATTGGTGATCCGGGAAGTAGAAACCGGACATGCATGGCACAGCAGGTCAACTGGTGATTCGGGAAGTATTGAGTGGACATACATAGCACAGCAGGTTAACTGATTGGTGATCCGGGAAGTAGAGAGCGGACATGCATAGCAGCACAGCACAGCAGGTCAACTGATTGGTGATCCGGGAAGTAGAGAGCGGACATACATGGCACAGCACAGGTCAACTGATGGTGATCCGGGGTGAGCGGACATACATGGCACAGCAGGGAACTGTGATTGGGAAGTATTGAGTGGACATACATAGCACAGCAGGTTAACTGATTTGTGATCCGGGAAGTAGAGAGAGGACATACATAGTACAGCAGGTCAACTGATTGGTGATCCGTGAAGTAGAGAGCGGACATACATAGCACAGCACAGCAGGTCAACTGATTGGTGATCCGGGAAGTAGAGAGCGGACATACATAGCACAGCAGATCAACTGATAGGTGATCAGGGAACTAGAGAACGGACATACATAGCACAGCAAGTCAACGGATTGGTGATCCGGGAAGTAGAGAGTGGACATACATAGCACAGCAGGTCAACTGGTGATCCGAGAAGTAGAGAGCGGACATACATAGCACAGCAGGTCAGCTGACTGGTGATCCGGAAGTAGAGAGCGGACATACATAGCACAGCAGGTCAGCTGACTGGTGATCCGGAAGTAGAGAGCGGACATACATAGCACAGCAGGTCAACTGATTGGTGATCCGGAAGTAGAGAGCGGACATAGATAGAGGGTGCTGTAGATAGAGGGTGCTGTAGAGCACAGCAGGTCAACTGAATGAACTTTCTGATTGTAGCACAGTTGCAGTGTCTGCTGGACAGCATTGGTGCCTCACTGATTGCATTCCCTTGTTGCCTAGAATTGCTCTTTAATTAAACTCGATTGTCTTGGATCTGTAACCGCAGCAGCAGGCAAAGCGAAACAGCCCCCAGCAGCCAGCCAGAGACTGACCGCTCTAAAATGCCGAACTAAAAATGCAACCATCGCATTCCTTGCACCTCAATACCTAACCTTCGATGAATGCAGCCTATACCATAGATCTCTGTGTGTGTGCCTGTTTCCATTTGTCGTTCCTGAACCCCGATCCCAGCTACAACAAGCGTCAGATGAGTCGCATCTACCCCAAGGGGGGGCGAGTGGATTCCAGTAATTACATGCCGCAGATTTTCTGGAACGCCGGCTGCCAGATGGTCTCCCTGAACTATCAGACCCCAGGTAGGCTGCCGCGGCCAGTCAAGCCCGATGCCAAGAAAGCCTGCGCTCGGTAACTTGGTGAGCAGATGCCGCCGAGCCGCCGCAGGCAATTCATCCAGAAAAACTGGAACGCGGCTAAATGATATTAAGATGTTTACTGACAAATGAGAAGGAGTGGATGAGCGGGGCCGGTTATAAATAGACGAGCGGTGTGCGCTGCATTTTAATTGGTGACTTTACCGGTGAGCCGGCATTAACACGCAGAGAGAGCGGAAACCAATTCATTGTATTACGATCTGCAGCTTTCACGCATGGAAGGCCGCAAACCGCCAGACACACGTTGTGTTGTGCCAGGGATTCAATAAAAGATCTGCAAAGGGTTCATGCCGGTAACCCCAGGGTCACACCTAACCCGGGGCTCTCATGAGGAAAGTGGCAGGGTCTGCATCCCTTTAGCCTAGGGTCACACCTAACCCGGGGCTCTCATGAGGAAAGTGGCAGGGTCTGCATCCCTTTACCCTAGGGTCACACCTAACCCGGGGCTCTGATGAGGAAAGTGGCAGGGTCTGCATCCCTTCACCCCAGGGTCACACCTAACCCGGGGCTCTGATGAGGAAAGTGGCAGGGTCTGCATCCCTTTAGCATAGGGTCACACCTAACCCGGTGCTCTGATGAGGAAAATGGCAGGGTCTGCATCCCTTTACCCTAGGGTCACACCTAACCCGGGGCTCTGATGAGGAAAGCGGCAGGGTCTGCATCCCTTTACCCTAGGGTCACACCTAACCCGGGGCTCTGATGAGGAAAGTGGCAGGGTCTGCATCCCTTTACCCAAGGGTCACACCTAACCCGGGGCTCTGATGAGGAAAGCGGCAGGGTCTGCATCCCTTTACCCTAGGGTCACACCTAACCCAGGGCTCTCATGAGGAAAGCGGCAGGGTCTGCATCCCTTTATCCTAGGGTCACACCTAACCCAGGGCTCTGATGAGGAAAGTGGCAGGGTCTGCATCCCTTTACCCTAGGGTCACACCTAACCCAGGGCTCTGAGGAAAGTGGCAGGGTCTGCATACCGCATTTTGGCCACTAGATGGAGGTAAGGAGCATACTTATTTCCTATGATCTGTGACTCCATTTTTATATTGCTTATTTCCTATGAATGCCAGCTCCATCTAGTGGCCATTATGCAGTATTTTTTTTTCTGATTGAAGTATTTCAGGAAAATACCGCATTTTGGCCTTTAGATGGAGGTAAGGAGCTTCCTTTTTTCCTATGATCTTTAACTCCATCTAGTGGCCATATTGCCTATTTCTTATGATGGTCAGCTCCATCTAGTGGCCATATTGCCTATTTCTTATGATGGTCAGCTCCATCTAGTAGTCACATTGCTTATTTTTTCTGATCATCAGCTCCATCTAGTGGCCATATTGCTTATTTATTATTATGGTCAGCGCCATCTGGTGGCCACATTGATTATTTCTTATAATCATCAACTCCATCTAGTGGCCCTAAAGCGTTGTTTTCCTAAATTAGGTATTTCAGGAAAATACCACAATCTGACCACTGGAGGTGAGGGGCATACCTATTTCCTGTGATCATCCATGTGATCTTGTGGTCATAATGCTGTATTTTCCCTAAAATACCTCATTTAGGAAAATGCCAAATTATGGCCACTAGATGGAGCTGATGATCACAGTGAAAAAAACATATTTGACAAATTACAGGGATAATTGTTTTCAGCTGGCGAATGCTTCTGACGTTCGTTCAGTGAAATTTATATAAATCGACCTCCTGATTTCCGGCTGTTATCATTTGTTGACATGAGGTTTTTTTTTTATCGCTGTTTTACTGTGCATTGAACTGCTTTTTTTTCAATGCTTTTTTTTTCTCTACAGGCCGCATAAAGGGTCATAATACTAGCACTTTTTTTTTTTTGATAGACATATTGTTATGCGTTGAGGCGCATTATCATGCGCAGTGTGGCAAAAAAAAAAACGCAGCACACCTACATGTATCCCCAACGCACATCAAAGCAACAGTTTGTTGTGCTCTGGGCTCCTACACAGAATTTGTATTTGTGTATTTTTTCACACATGAATTAAATATTCATTTCAGGCCTGAAGATGAGATAAAACCCCCAGATATTGTATACCCTCTGAAAGCAGAGACCCTGGAGAATAAAACGCTTGTAGTCCCTAATTTCTGCAGTTGATAAACTCAACCGTTTATGAAGAGCACATTTTCAATAAAAATTTGCTAAAGGTGATTTTCGGTCACACAAATGTAACATACTGTATAACATAATATAAACGATGAGATTGTACCGAGTAAATAGATACCAAACGTGTCAAGCCTTAACCACTTCCAGTCCGGACACTTTTATCCCCCTTCCTGTCCAGGCCAATTTTCGGCTTTCAGCGCTATCACACTTTGAATGACAATTGCGCGGTCATGCAACACTGTACCCATATGAATTTTTTTAGCATTTTTTTTGAGACACATAAAGCTTTATTTTGGTGGTATTTATTCACCGCTGGGATTTTTATTTTGTTTGCTATGTAAATGAAAAAGTCCAAAAAATTTTGAAAAAAAGTGTTTTTTTTTCTTATAAAATTTTGCAAATAAATAATATTTCATCATAAATCTTGGCCAAAATTTGTTCCGTTATCTTTTTAGTAAAAAAAAATAAAAAATAACCCAAATTAGTTTAACCAAAAATTTAAATTTTTAAACTTTTTTTTTTTTTTCTTTTTTTTTTTTTTTTTTTTTTTACATACTGTCACCCTAGCAGTACAGTGTCACCATGGTGACACTGTACTACTTGTGGGGGGTGATGAAGATTTATTTTTTTTTTTTTTACACTGATTACTTTTACACCCTTAAAGGCTGTAAGAGCAATTATTTCTTCTTCTCTCCGGCTGCATTCTTGCAGCCATTGAGAAATACTGAGTGAGCTGTGATTGGTCACAGCTTGTCAGATGGTACAAGGCTGTTGTGAATAGCCTTGTACCATGTGATCTCTGTGATCATTCACAGATTTTCACGTAGTAAGCAATGATGTCAGAAGTGACATCTTGCTTACTACTCTGCATGTGATCACTGATTGGCCAATCAGTGATCACATGATTGGGACCTCACACAGAGGTCCCGTACAATGATCGGTGTTCCACTGTGTCCGGAGGACACAGCGGGCACCGGATCGCGGTGCTGCGCGCTCTCAGGAAGCGTGCACAAGCAGGGGGCGGGGAGGCCGTTTATAAACGACAACCCAACCCTGCACTGCCACCGTCCGGCCATTTTATATACAATGGCCGGACGGGAAGTGGTTAAATATTAATTTTGGACCTGAAGATGAGGTAAAACCCCCAGATATTGTATACCCTCTGAAAGCAGAGACCCTGGAGAATAAAATGCTGGTAGTCCCTAATTTGTGCTGTTGATAAACTCAACTGTTTATGAAGAGCACATTTAAAAAAAAAAAATACGCTAAAGGTGATTTTTGGTCACACGAATGTAACATACTGTATAACGTAATATAAACGATGAGATTGTACCGAGTAAATAGATACCAAATATGTCAAGCCTTAAAGTGATACTAAAGGCATACTTTTTTTTTTTCCTAATAATAAACATGTCATATTTATCTGCTCTTCTCGGCTGCCCCGCCCCTCCCTCCTGTTGGGTGCCCCCGTAGCAAGCAGCTTGCTTTGGGGTCACCTGAGCAGCCACACTCCCGTGCCGCTGCATTCGCACATGGATCAGCGACTCGGCCCACCCCCCTCTCTTCTCATTGGATCACTGGCTGTGATTGAAAGCAGCGAGAGCCAGCGGTTCCTGCTGTTGTCTCAGCCAGTGAGGAGAGGGAGTCCCGGGATAGCCGAGACTCCAGTGCACATCGCTGGATCTAGAGGGGGCTTAGATGAGTATTGGGGGGGGGGAGATGCTGCATACAGGTTTTTTACCTTCATGCATAGAATGAAACCTTGAGCCTTTACAACCACTTTATAATTGCACACTGCCATTGAAACAACATCAAACTTCGGTACCGAAATTTTCCATAAGTGACTCTACAGGCCATCAGTTTAGAGTTACCTCAAATTATTGCTCTCACTCCCGTGTGCGCGGCGATGTACCGTGTAGCATAAACAACGGTTTCTCACGTTGGTGTGCTGACATGTGTTTACTGTTAGTGCATGGATGAGGGGATCAAAACTTTAGTTTGGGGAGGGAAGCTTAGGTGCTAGGGTTTAACTTGACCCCTGATGTCTCATCTGCCTTCCTCTGAAGGTAATGGGGCAACGTTTGCACTCCATTTACTTCTTCCCCACCACAGGCGATACTGATACACATGGCTTCCATGTTCATTCCAGCTAGGGGAGATCGGCGAACAGATGTTTGTTGGTCTCCTTCCCCCCCACCCGTTGGCACCTGCCATGGGCATCGTGGGACAGCAGAGCCCTGGAAATATGACGGGAGAGGGATATTCCTGCATTACTTAGGGTCTATGGAAGCAAACGGGCAGCTACGCAGTTGCTTCCAGCTAACAGCCAACAGTCTCCCTCACAGATTTGCATGCAGTCCAAGTTTCTGGAGTGGCCAGGAGTGTGTTGCTGACACGTGGCATATGTCGGTGGGAGTAAAAGAGTGAAGTACCCTCATCATTGCACTACCAAAACCTAAAAAAGATTATTTTACAAATATAGACTTCCTAAAAGTCTGTATCTGCATAGACCTAGGCACTAAATCAACCCCCCCCCCCCCCCCAACGTGTGCAGGGGATAATTGTCTAATGGGGGATGGTGGTTCAAGCCTACATACCCAGAAGATAAGTTTGGGAGTGCTGTGGAATGGGGAGGGGGAGGTTGACACTGAGCATGGATGAAGAAACTTGATCAGTGTAATTGGGCATTTATTTTTACAAACTTTCATCAAATTTCTCCCCAGCCAAAGGCAAACCAATTACAATGTAGTTTGATGTTTAACCTTGGCCTCACCTACCTCCTATCCTGCTCCTGCCCTGGATTGTTACCCTTTGTATAACAATTAGTGGGGGTATATTATGGGGTTTGTTGGTGCTCCCAAACATTGCCCAGTGTCCGCACCCATTACAGACCCAAAAATTCAACACAAGTTGCTGATGCACCAAGCACCCAATTGGATAAAAGTTGGGGAATCCCAGGTTTTTGTATCGTCCGGCCTGTGTATTGGTAAATAAAGCTGCATTTGAACGTTGTAGCAAATTTTGAAATACATTTTGTCTTCTGACAGACTTAGCTATGCAGCTGAACCAAGGCAAGTTTGAATACAACGGATCTTGTGGGTAAGCAGTACGTTTGGAATGTCTAGTTTGTGTTTTGCTCCTGAAGTCTGTTTATGGAAGATTTTAGTAGATGCAGAATAGTGATGAACTTCGGCTCAATCCAAAAACAAGTTCATCCGAACCTGAAAATTGGTTGTCATTGTTGGGCCAATGAGTTTCGGGCGGGAGATTCCCCAACTGCAACTGCATGTATACAAAGGGACGAGGATGCTTTTGACATCATTGACCTAATATGGGCACATGACCAAGTTAGATCAATGTCATTGAGCTAACATGGCCATGTGGCCGTGTAAGGTCTGTGATGTCATGAGTATACCCCCCCCCCCCACATCCTTTGTCTACATGATGCTCTGGGATGGGGAATCTCCAGCCCACAGCTCATTGGTGTAGTAATGAAAGTCAACTTCTGGGTTCAGACCAAACCCACGCCCATTCCTATATCAATGTCATTGACTTAACATGGCTATAGGACCATAGTATATCAATATTGTAATGAATATCGACAAATGATCATATTGGGGCATTGCCATTGCCCTAATATGGTAATGTGGCCTTATAAGGTCTGAGATGTCATGGGTATCCCCCCCCCCCCCCATGCTTTGTCTACATGGAGCTCTTGGGTCAGGAATCTGTCACCCACATCTAGACATGCATTTTGGTTCAATTTGCTTTTCAGAGGAAAATGTCATTTTCAGAGATTTGGATGTATATGAATCTCCGAAAGGACATAGTAACAATGTCAACGAACCTGAAAAAATTGATATCAAAATTAACTAATGCATTTGTTTTAGTCGGATGGCGTCACATGATTGGATAGAAGATCGGGCCCATGGGGAAGTAAAATTTCAAATTCGTTCAATAATTTGTATTCGGATAATGAATTGATCAGAATTTCATTCCATTCGTTAATTCAGATGCACATGATGCAGACGATACTGTCCAATTAGCTCATGCCATTTCTCTTGGTGGGTTGAATTAGCATCCGAAAATATCGAATCTGCTCGATTCCATAATATATGGAATATCTAGCAATCTACCCAAAAAAACTGCACCTTTTTTTTAATCCTCCCGGACCAACAAATGAATATTGAAAACAAATTGGGTCAACATAACAAATATTGTCAGGCTCCGCCCAACGGGATCTCTAGTGGTCCACAGCACGGGGTTTCCCAGGACGCGGAGTCTAAGTCCCAGTCTGCCTTTTCACCAGGGCCCCTGATGGTGGGGATGGACTTGGTGCAAGACTGGAAACAGGTCGCGCCCCTGGGCACCCCCGGCGGTGGTAGAGGGGTCCCGCTGAGGGTATGTGCCCGGGATGAGCCTGCTGCGAAGGGGACGACAGGTCCGATCCGAGCGGATGGATGGGATGGCAGGTTCTGATCCGAGCGGGATGGACGGATGACAGATCCCGATCCGAGCGGGATGGATGGGTGACAGCTAGGAGTGAGCGAGGTCAGACTAGCTGGGTCGGTATCGTGCAGGCAGCGTGGTACAGGGGGAGTAAGCGGAGAATGGTCGGGGTCACAAGCCAGGATCAGCAGGTAGCGGGCAGCGCGGTACAGAGGGTCAGGCAGGAGGATGGTCAGGGACGAGCCGGGATCAGAGCAGGAGAGGGTCAGCATAAGTCAGAACAGGCAGAGTTTGGCAACTAGGAAGCGTACTTACAGGACAGGAACAAGACCTTGCGGCAACCTGGAGATGCACAGGGCAGCTTTAAATAGAGCGCCCTGTTCTCCCATTGGTGCGGCCGCGATCGCTACTGCGCATGCGCGGCCGCCGCCGGCCGGGACAGATCGGCCGTCTGCGCATGCGCGCACCGCCGAGGACCCGGGATCCCTGACAAATATGCTGAAATGAAATTCTTCAATGAACGGATACATCCGAAAAGAAATAAAATTTTCTGATGTGCACATGTTTACCCACAGCTCATTGGCCCAGTAATGACAGCCAACATCCAGGTACAGACCAAAATCAATGTCATTGACCTATTGTGGTCATAGGGCCATGTTAGGTCAATGATGTAATGAGCGTTGACCTAATATGGAGACATGGCCATATCAGATCAGTGTCATTGTCCTAATATAGCCATGGGTTCAATCCAAAAACAGGTTCACCCGAACCTGGAAGTTGGGTGTCATTGTTGGGCCAATGAGTTTCCCACCTGCAACTGCATGTATGCAAAAAGACGTGGATGCTTTTGACATCATTGACCTAATTTGGGCTTATGACGGAATTAGGTCAATGTCATTGAGCTAACATGGCCATGTGGTCATATAAGGTCTATGATGCCATGATTATCCTCCTCGTCCTTTGTATACACGCAACTGTGGGGTGGGAAATCTCCCACCCACAGGCCATCGGCCCAGTAATGACAACCAACTTTTGGGTTCAGACCAAACCCAAGCCCATTCCGTAAGGCCATTTTAGGTCAATGATGTAACGAGTAATAACTTAATATGTGCACATTCCCGAATTAAGTCAGTGGCTTTGACCTAACATGGCCATGTGACCGTTTAAGGTCTACAATATCACCCCTCTATCCTTTGTATACACGCAACTGTGGGGTGCGAAATCTCCTACCCACAGGTCATCGGCCCAGTAATGACAACCAATTTCTGGGTTCAGACCAAACCCAAGTCCAATCCATAAGGCCATTTTAGGTCAATGATGTAACGAGCAATTACTTAATATGTGCACATTCCCGAATTAAGTCAATGTCTTTGACCTAACATCTCAATCTGGCCGTTTAAGGTCTACAATGTCACCCCTCTATCCTTTGTATACATGCAACTGTGGGGTGGGGAATCTTCCACCCACAGCTCATCTCCCCAGTAGTGACAGCCAACTTCTGGGTTCAGATCAAAGCCAAGCCCATTCCATAAGGCCATTTTAAGTCAATGATGTAACGAGTAATAACTTAATATGTGCACATTCCCGAATTAAGTCAATGTCTTTGACCTAACATGGCCATGTGGCCGTTTAAGGTCTACAATGTCACCCCTCCATCCTTTGTATACGCGCAACTGTGGGGTGGGGAATCTCCCACCCATAGCTCATCGGCCCAGTAATAACAGACAACTTCTGAGTTGAGTTCAAAGCCAAGCCCTTTCCATAAGGCCATTTTAGGACAATGATGCAATGAGCAATAACTTAATATGGACACATGCCCAAATCAAGTCAATGTCATTGACGTAACATGGCTATGTGGCCATTGAAGGTCTACAATGTCATCCCCTCCATCCTTTGTATACCTGCAGTTCTGGGAATAAGATCTCCTGTCTGCAACTCCCAACAACGACAGCAGATTTAGACCGAACCCAACATCATCTCTAATGAAAAACATAAGGGTTGATTTACTAAAGGCAAATAGACTGTGCACTTTGCAAGAGCAGTTTGCTCCAGAGCTTAATAAATGGGCAGAAGCTCTGATAACTTCTATTGTCCAATCATGTGCATGCAAAAATGCTTTTTTTTTTTTTCAATTTTCCTTGCATGTGATTGGGTATTCCTTGCAAAGTGAATCTTTGTCTCATTTACAAAGGTCTGGAGCAATTGCACTTGCAGAGTGCAACTGCACCTTGTATGGTGCACAGCCTATTTGCCTTCAGTAAATCAACCCCATTGTGTTTGACTTTCGAACTGGATTTATAAGGTATCCCATTCACTGCCCACAACTGCTCTTTCATTGGTTTACATATTGCCGTAAAATAGATTTTGAGAGGCGTATTATTAAACGTTTCAGATATATAACTACAAATATTATAAAATGTCATGTTTTTTGCTTTTTCTTTCTCTAGTTACCTCCTTAAGCCAGACTTTATGCGCCGTCCTGATAGAACGTTTGACCCGTTCTCTGAGACCCCTGTGGATGGAGTGATTGCAGCCACCTGCTCTGTTCAGGTATTCTAAGAATGGTATTCTATAAAGCTGCCCATAGATGGATCAAAATTTTGGCCCGGTTCAGCAGGGATTGTCCAACCCAGGGCGGACTGACAACTCATGGGGCCCCCGGGCAATAGGGGATCATGGGGCCCCTGTGTCCTTGCCCAAACTCAAAAAAAGCCTATGAAAATGGTACTAGGGGCATCTCATGGGGCCCCCTACTGACCCCAGGCCCTCAATAGGGGATCATGGGGACCCTGTGTCCTTGCCTAAACTCAAAAAAGCCTATGAAAAAGGTACCAGGGGCATCTCATGGGGCCCCCTACTGACTCTGGGCCCTCGGGCAGTGCCCAAGTTTCCAAATGGTCAGTCCATTCCTGGTCCAACTTTTGGTCCATCTATGGCCATTGTTGAATGGGAATGTTGGAAATTTTTTCATTTGATCAGCGGCTGCAGCCAATGGAAAGCAGCACTGATCAGTGTATTCTGCAGAGGAGTCCCCTCCGTTAGAAGATAGCAGCACAGTGGGAGGGATTCCTCCATCCACCTCATTTGTGTGGATGGAGGAATCCCGTTTTCTTTCAGTCAGCCTACTGGTATCTATGGGCAGCCAATGGCCCTGTTCACACGATTCTGCCCATCTTTCCGAATGGGGCTTAAAACATGCAACATGTGTTTTTGTAGGCCATTCATTATTAATGGTGCCCCAAATGCGATAAAGAAACGGGCAACAAAATGGCCAGAAAATGTGCAAAAACGCACCAAAGTCGGCCCCAAACAAGGGTACAGGAGTTACTTGGCTGTGTTTTTGCAGTGGAGGGTAGTTTGTTCAAGTGAATGGTGTCACTCTAAAAAGTGCAATAAAAGTGCAAAAAACCGCTACGCCCCCACGTTGCTCAGATATAAACGGATCCAAGGGTGCCAACGCTACATGGCCAATGCTTGAATCAGTCCTGCAATGTGTGCATACAGTAATCCGGGGCTCATTCACACTACTGATTGGAGGCAGTAAAACCCAGCATATAAACTGCGGCTTTTATCGCCCCTCAACTGCTACTCCCTTTAGCTGCGGAAGCAGCGGCCCGAGGGTGCACAGATGTCACGGCAGCAATGCTTTGCTTGACAGCTGCAGCAAGAATTATACCCCCTGTTGCTTTTGACAGTGATATTACCTGAAGGCCTATTCATGTGAATGGAGCTTCTCTGCAAGCACCCTGCAAACAGATGCAATGCACGCCATTGTGGCACATTAGCGCAGCCTTCATGTGGTTAACCACCTCCCGTCCGGCCGTTGTATATAAACGGCCAGACGGTGGCAGTGCAGGGGTGGCTGGCCGTTTATAAATGGCCTCCCCGTCCCCGCTTGTGTGTGCGCTCCCTGGGAGCGTGCAGCACTGTGATCCAGTGCCCGCTGTGCTCTTGTTACACAACAGAACACTGATCGCTGTACGGGACCTCTGTGTGAGGTCCTGATCATGTGATCACTGAGTGGCCAATCAGTGATCACATGTAGAGTAATAAGCAAGATGGCACTTCTGACATCATTGCTTACTACGTGTGAAATCTGTGAATGATCACAGAGGTCACATGGTACAGGGCTATTCACAACAGCCTTGTACCATGTGACAAGCTGTGACCAATCACAGCTCACACAGTAGTTCTCAATGGCTGCAAGAATGCAGCCAGAGAGAAGGAGAAATGATTGCTTTTACAGCCTTTATGGGTGTAAAAGCAATCAGGCAATCAAAAAAAAAAATAAAAATCTTCATCACCCCCCACAAGTAGTACGGTGTCACCTTGGTGACACTCTCCTGCTAGGGTGATAACAATAATATTAAAAAAAAAAAAAAAAAATGTAAAGAAAATGTTTAAAAATTATAATTTTGGGTTATAAACTAATTTGGGTTATTGTTTTTTTTACTAACCATAAAATTATTTTTGTTGCTACTGCATAACTGTAATTTTGCTACTATTATGAATTGTAATGTAAATATCTTACCTCCAATACTGCTGCTTTCAACACAGCAGCTGCTTTCTACACAGTAGCTACTCTTTACACATGTGACTGGTCCACATACATTATGTAAGTACATTATGGCGCCAACCCTGTCACATACACCTGTATTTGTACGGGGTGTAAGTGATGGGGTTGGCGCGATGATGTCATCACTCCGGGTACTCGTATGTGTGGGCGTATCTGCATGTGGGCGGACCTGCCTGGAGACGGATAGAGGAGCGGTGTCTCGGTTCCTAAGACCATCAGAAATATGTGTTTTCCGATGGTCTTAGGTGACCCCTGTGAAAGGGTCGTTCGACCCCCAGGTTGAGAACCGCTACTGTAATCCATCTCCCCTTAGCTCAGGCATGTAGGCAGGAGGATGTGCTTAGCTGAGAAAGCCCCTTCTGAGGGCTACTGGGATGTATGACATCATTTTGGCCTAGGCCAGAAACCAGGAAGCAACTGAAGAAATGTAAAAAAAAAAAAGGTTTAAAACAAGTAAATATAATATACTTTCCTATCTATTTACTAATGATGCCAGCATGAGGATTAAAGATGGTCGGTGTTGATGGAGAGAGTTTAGTTCTACTCTAAATACGTCAAGATATGCACTGCCATCCTGAGAGTCGGGTAAACTGTATCACTTTATAAAGCCTTTCATATGTTCCTGTAGGTCATATCCGGACAGTTTCTATCGGACAAAAAAATTGGGACCTACGTTGAGGTGGACATGTATGGACTGCCGACAGACACCATACGGAAGGAGTTCAAGACACGGATGGTCATGAACAACGGCCTGAATCCAGTATACAATGAGGAGCCGTTTGTATTTAGAAAGGTGGGCTAAGCTTTTGCTAAAGAACATTGAGTTTATCTATTTGAAAAAAAAGATGTAAGCATCGGTAATAATGGGCAAAGCTTCAAAACAATCAGAATCCGGGTTACTCTGGTCTAAGGGGGTTCATTTACTAAAGGGAAACAGACCGTTCACTTTGCGAGTGACGTTCCACTGTGTATGGGAGGTTTCCACTTTACGGAGGAATTTTCCCAGAGCTTAGAGAATGAGGTGAAGCTCTGCCATCATCCAAGCACGTACAACCAAAATATATATATATATATATATATATATATATTATTATTTTTTTATTTTTATTTTTTTTTTTTACTTTTTTCCTTGCATGTGATTGGGTATTCTTTGCAAAGTGAAATTCCACCACATTTACTGAGCTAAGGGAAAATTCCCTTGCAAATTGAAAATTTCCTTTTAAAGGAAAGGGCCTTGTTGCCTATAGCAGGGGTCTCTAAACTTTCCTAAACAAAGGGAGAGTTTACTGTCCTTCAGACTCCGAGGGGGCCAGACTGTGGCCAGCATGAGTAGAAAATGCCCTGTAAACAATGCCCCATGGAAGTAAACAATGCCCCATCATTGATATTAGTGGGAGGACTGTTGCCCTATTGTTGGTGTCAGGGGAAAGAATAGTGCCCCATTGTTGGTGTCAGGGGAAAGAATAGTACCCCATTGTTGGTGTCAGGGGAAAGAATGGTACCCCATTGTTGGTGTCAGGAAAGAATAGTGCCCCATTGTTGGTGTCAGGGGAAAGAATAGTACCCCATTGTTGGTGTCAGAGGAAAGAATGGTACCCCATTGTTGGTATCATGGGAAAGAATGGTGGACTCCATTGTTGGTGTCAGCGGAAAGAATAGTACCCCATTATTGGTGTCAGGGGAAAGAATGGTACTCCATTGTTGGTGTCAGGGGAAAGAATAGTGCCCCATTGTTGGTGTCCGATTGTTGGTGTCAGGGGAAAGAATAGATTTTGGTGTCAGGGGAAAGATTAGTGCCCGATTGTTGGTGTCAGGGGAAAGAATAGTACCATTATTGTTGGTGTCAGGGGAAAGATTAGTGCCCCATTGTTGGTGTCAGGGGAAAGATTAGTGCCCGATTGTTGGTGTCAGGGGAAAGAATAGTACCATATTGTTGGTGTCAGGGGAAAAAGATTAGTGCACCATTGTTGGTGTCAGGGGAAAGATTAGTGCCCATTGTTGGTGTCATGGGAAAGAATAGTACCATATTGTTGGTGTCAGGGGAAAGATTAGTGCCCCATTGTTGGTGTCAGGGGAAAGAATAGTACCATATTGTTGGTGTCAGGGGAAAGATTAGTGCCCCATTGTTGGTGTCAAGGGGAAAGATTAGTACCCCATTGTTGGTGTCAGGGGAAAGAATAGTACCCCATACCACATTGTTGGTGTCATGGGAAAGAATGTACTCCATTGTTGTGTCAGGGGAAAGAATAGTGCCCATTGTTGGTGTCATGGGAAAGAATGGTACTACCCATTGTTGGTGTCATGGGAAAGAATGGTACTCCATTGTTGGTGTCAGGGGAAAGAATAGTACCCATTATTGGTGTCAGGGGAAAGAATGGTACCCCATTGTTGGTGTCAGAGGAAAGAATCGTGCCCAATTGTTGGTGTCAGGGGAAAGAATAGTACCGCCATTGTTGGTGTCAGGGGAAAGAATGGTACTCCATTGTGTCAGGGGAAAGAATAGTACCCCATTGTTGGTGTCAGATGTTGGTGTCAGGGGAAAGAATTACCACATTGTTGGTGTCATGGAAAGAATAGTACCCCCCATTGTTGGTGTCAGGGGAAAGATTAGTACCCCATTGTTGGTGTCATGGGATTACTCCATATTTGTTGGAAGAAATTATAAAAAAAAAGCAAAGAAGGGGAAAGCAACAGGTTGGGGTTTGGGGAGTACAGAATATGGAACGAGCTTTTAACAGGCGAGAGGCTTGCCTAAAAAAAAGGAGGGATAATGAAATATTTTGGAAAGAATGGGGGGGTTGTTGGGTGTCAGGGGAAAGATTAGTAGCCCCATTGTTGGTGAGTCAAGGGAAAGAAATAGTACCACATTTGTTGGTGTCATGGGAAAGAATGATCATGGTACCACCATTGTTGGTCATGGAAAGGGGTTGTGGAAGAAGAAAAAGTAAAATGGAAGGCCCTGTGTGGTGGGTGTGGGAACCAGGGGGGGGAAAGGGTTATCTGTGGGGGGTATAGGGGAGGGAAAAGTAGTACTACCATTGTTGGTCAAGTTTTTGAAGAAGGGATTCTGTTTTTATTGGTATGGGAAAGTGTAGCCATTGTTGGGGAAAGAAAGAATGGTACCCTCCATTGTTGGTGTCATGGGAAAGAATAGTACCCATTGAATTTGTCCAAGGGGGGTGGGGGGAAAGATGGTACTTACCAAGTGTTGTCATGGGAAAGAATGGTACCAACATTGTCTTTCCAATTTGGTGTCAGGGGAAAGATATGTATTAATTTGGTGTCAGGGGAAAGAATGGTACCCCATTGTTGGTGTCAGTAGGAAAGAATTGTGCCATGGGAAATGAATTGTTGTCAGGGCATGAGGAAAAAAGAAAGAATCGTGCCCAATTTGCTGGTGTCAGGAAAAGAATAGTACCACATTGTTGGTGTCAGGGGAAAGAATAGTACCCCATTGTTTGTGTCAGTGGAAAGAATTGTGCCCTGCTGTTCGTGTTAGTAGAAGGAATAGTGCTTCATTGTTGGTATTAATGACAGGGATTTATGCCCCATTGTTGGTGTCAGTGGGAGGAATAGTGTCTTGTATCGGTGGGAGAAATGTATAGTACCCCAAGGGCTGGATAAAGGCACGCAAAGGGCCACATCAAGCCCTCGGGGCCGCAGTGGAGACCACTTGCCTATAGTAAAAACCCCAGTGAGTCCCAATTGGTATCTTTGTTAAATAGGGCTGCTTGTGTACTTACATCATATAACATATTGTCCCACTGATAGACGTAGACCTCAAGTATGTTATTTTTGGGCCAAGTTTATACTAGCGGTCGGGAGGGGGGGGCGGATAGGGGTGCAGTAAAAACACGTGACTGATCAATGTGATGTCTGTTTAAAAGCATGCGCACTGTAGTTTTTATTTTTCGCTTGCAACATAAAGTAGTTTTATTACCTGCTGTTCCTGGCAGTAGTAGCTTTCTTTTCTATTTACTTTAACAGGCCAAGCTGTCCGGCAGTTAAAGGGGTTGGGATGAATTGTATAAAACTGATGGGGGTGCTTACAATAGTCAGCTGTTATTCAAATGGTGAAAACCTTTTTTTTTTCACAAGAAAAAGATGTTAGCCGGAATTAGGCTTTAACTTGTTTGTCACTCACTTAAAGTCCAATTAACCTTCAGTTTAAATTGGTTAAATACATTCCAACTGCACCAGAACTGGTATGTAATGGTTTACAGTTAGGTTTTTTTCATTAAAGCAGCCACAACTTGAGCAGAAATGCCTGTGTCTTGGCAGCAGCTACAGATTGGGACCCTTGCGCTCTGCGTGGAAGCAGTGGTCTCCTTGCAAAGGTCCAAAAGACCTATAGCTCTGCAGTCAGCAAAGCTCATGCTTCCTATTGATTGAAGTGCTCTGATTCTCAGCAGGAGGCATTTTGGGGGGGGGGGATTGATTTCTTAAAGATTTTTGGACCTCTGCAAAGAGACCACTGCTTCCCCACAGAGAGCAGGGATCCCACTATGCAGCTGCTGGCAGTGGGTAGGCTTTTCTACTCAGATCATGACTGATTTTTAAAGAAAACAAACTGTGAGACACAAGTTTTTCTTTGATGTGTACAATGTAATGGGAATGTATTTGGCTCATTTAGAAGTTCAGTTGTATCTTAAAGTCCATCTTAAATGAAGGGGTCTATTTATAAAAAAAAAATTGCTGTGCGTTTGCCTCATCATTCGTACAGCTGTCTTGAATAGTCCTCATGATGTGTCTAATGTATTTATTTCCTGTGATCATCAGCTTCATCTAGTGGCCTTAATGCCAGATTTTTCCTTAAATAGCGCAATCAGGAAAATATCACATTATGGCCTCTAGATGGAGCTGATGATCATCAGAAACAAACATATCAGACACATTAAGGGACTATTTATGATGGCTGAGCGAGTGCTTGGTTAGTAAAGGGGAAGGTGTGTTGGTGACTCGATTCTCTCAGGTCAGAAGATCTCGGGCTTACATATACAACTCCTGAGATGATTCCTGAGAGAACTGCTTTTGATTTGGGACTGGAATTTTAGAAACGTTCTTCCTCTGTCTGTAGGTTATCCTGCCTGACCTGGCTGTGTTGAGGATTGGAGTGTATGACGACAATAATAAATTGATAGGCCAAAGGATATTACCACTGGATGGCCTTCAAGCTGGCTATCGGCACATCTCTCTCCGGAATGAGGGCAATAAGCCTCTGTCTTTGCCCACCATCTTCTGTAACATTGTACTGAAGACGTATGTTCCCGATGGGTTTGGAGGTAAGAGTGTGGACTAGGACTGGCCAATGGGCTGCCATTCAACTGCTGAGAAGATACAAGTTAGGATGAGCCTTTGTTTATTCGGAACTGGGTTCAGGTCCAAACCCAGAAGTCAGCTGTCTTTCCTGGTCCATTGAGCTGAACATAGCCACATATACAATGGGTCATTGACACAGTATGGTCATGTGGCTATACTATGGGGATCTCCAGCCCTGCATCTGATGTATACAATGGGGTGTGGAGTTGCTCATGATATCATTGACCTAATATGGCTAAATAGCCATATTAGGTCAATGTCATTGCCCTAATACGGACATGTGGTGATATTAGGGGGATCTCCAGCCCTGCATTTGATGTATACAATGGGGTGGGGTTGCTCATGATATCATTGACCTAATATGGCCATATTAGATCAGTGTCATTGACCGAATGTGGTCATGTGGCTATACTAGGGGGGGTCTCTAGTCCAACACCATATATATACAATGGTGTGGGGTTGCTCATGAAATCATTGTTCTAATATGGTCACATGGCCATATTAGGGTTAACGCCATTGACCTAATATGGTCATGTGGCCATACTAATGGGGTCTTCAGCCCTGCACCTAATATATACAAAGGGTGGGGATGCTCATGACATCATTGAACTAATAAGGTCATGTGGCCATGCTACGAGGCAAGAGTGTGGACTAGGACTGGCCAATGGGCTGCCATTCAACTGCTGAGAAGATACAAGTAAGAGTGAGCCTTTGTTTATTCGGAACTAGGTTCAGGTCCAAACCCAGAAGTCAGCTGTCTTTCCTGGTCCATTGAGCTGCCAACGGAAGACTCCCATATAAAATGGGTCGGGGATGTTTGTGCTATCAATGACCTAATATGTCTTTGTGGCCATATTAGGTCAATGTCATTGACTTAGTATGGTCATTTGTCCATACTATGGGGATCTCCAGCCCTGTATCTAATGTATACAATGGGGCGGGGTTGCTCATGACATCATTTACCTAATATGGCCACATAGCCATATTAGGTCAATGTCATTGAGCTAATATGGACATGTGGTGATACAAGGGGGATCTCCAGCCTTGCATCTGATGTATATAATGGGTCGGGGATTCTGGCGACATCATTGACCTAATATGGCCACATGGACATATAAGGTCAAAGTCATTGACCTAATATGGTCATGTGACCATACTAGGGGGGTCTACAGCCTGCACCTAATATGTACAAAGGGTGGGGATGCTCATGACATCATTGACCTAATATGACCATATGTCCAAACTATAAGGATCTCCAGCCTTGCATCTGATGTATACAAAGGGGCGGGGAAAGGCTAGTGACATCACTGACCTAATATGTCCATATTAGTTCAATTTCGCTGAGCTAATATTGTCATGTGACCATACTAGGGGGGTCTCCAGTCCTGCACCTGATATATACAATGGGGTGAGGATTCTCGTGACATCATTGACCTAATATGGTCACATGGCCATATTAGGTCAAAGCCATTGACCTAATATGGTTATGTGACCATACTAGGGGGGTCTCCAGCCCTGCTTCTAATATATACAAAGGGGTGGGGATGATCATGTCATCATTGACCTAATGTCATGTGGCCAAACTACGAAGATCTCCAGCCCTGATGTATCCAATGGGTCGGCGATGCTGGTGACATCATTGGCCATATTAGGTCAATGTCATTGAAATAATTTGGTCATGTGGCCATACTAGGGGGATCTCCAGCCCTGCATCTGATGTATACAATGAGATGGGAATGCTGGTGACATCATTGGCCTATTCTGGCCACATGGTCATTGGAATGACAGCTGACTAATGGCCCAACCCTGGTTCCTGAACAGATGCAAGCTCAACCCTAGATACAAGCCCCAGCTAGTTATGTAAACCGCTTACAAGACATTTTCTCATTCATGTTGTGAACCAGAATGGACACCGTCCTTATGTATCATTGTCTTCTTACTTCTAGATATTGTTGATGCTTTATCAGATCCAAAGAAGTTTCTGTCTATCACCGAGAAAAAGAGCAGACCAGATGAGGGCGATGGGCATTGAAACTGTAAGTATGGATTTTTATGGCCCAGACCAGATATGTGAGTGTACAAATTTAAGTTAATTCCACGAAAAATATTTTACTTTTCAGGTGAGTTTTATTATACCTCTCATAGACTAAAATGGTAACATTTCCCCAGAGTGGCCTTCCCATAAGACCATAGGAACTACTTGGTTTTTTCTCATTTCTCCAAAAATGTTTGCTTGTTCTAGAAACATGGACCCATATTCTGGCAATGTCATGCCAAAGAGTTAATAGAAAACAAAATAAAAACACTGGCACATGGTAACGCAAGCTACAAATAAGAATTGGATCTAATTTTACTATTTTTTTAAATATTCTGTCCTTCTATTTTTCAGTGTTCTCTTATATTTTTTCAAAATCTTTGTATTTCTGTTACTTTTTTTTAATTATTTTTAATCATTGTTTTATCATAATGCATTATTTTCATTTTTTTTTCTCGTTTTTTTTTCGTTTTCTTTCTTTTTCCTATAATTATTCTTTTTTATTCTGTATGTTTGATATTTATTTTCTTTTTCAAATTTTATTTATTCTGTTGTTTGATTTGATTTTTTTCTTTTATTTTTTTTTTTTTTCTTTTTTTTTCATTTTTCTTTTTTTTTTTCTTTTTTTTCTTTTTTTTTTATTTTTTTACATTTTTTTTTTTTTTTTTTTTTTTTTTTTTTTTTTTTTTTTTTTTTTTTTTTTTTTTTTTTTTTTTTTTTTTTTTTTTTTTTTTTTTTTTTTTTTTTTTTTTTTTTTTTTTTTTTTTTTTTTTTTTTTTTTTTTTTTTTTTTTTTTTTTTTTTTTTTTTTTTTTTTTTTTTTTTTTTTTTTTTTTTTTTTTTTTTTTTTTTTTTTTTTTTTTTTTTTTTTTTTTTTTTTTTTTTCTTTTTTTTTTTTTTTTTTTTTTTTTTTTTTTTTTTTTTTTTTTTTTTTTTTTTTTTTTTTTTTTTTTTTTTTTTTTTTTTTTTTTTTTTTTTTTTTTTTTTTTTTTTTTTTTTTTTTTTTTTTTTTTTTTTTTTTTTTTTTTTTTTTTTTTTTTTTTTTTTTTTTTTTTTTTTTTTTTTTTTTTTTTTTTTTTTTTTTTTTTTTTTTTTTTTTTTTTTTTTTTTTTTTTTTTTTTTTTTTTTTTTTTTTTTTTTTTTTTTTTTTTTTTTTTTTTTTTTTTTTTTTTTTTTTTTTTTTTTTTTTTTTTTTTTTTTTTTTTTTTTTTTTTTTTTTTTTTTTTTTTTTTTTTTTTTTTTTTTTTTTTTTTTTTTTTTTTTTTTTTTTTTTTTTTTTTTTTTTTTTTTTTTTTTTTTTTTTTTTTTTTTTTTTTTTTTTTTTTTTTTTTTTTTTTTTTTTTTTTTTTTTTTTTTTTTTTTTTTTTTTTTTTTTTTTTTTTTTTTTTTTTTTTTTTTTTTTTTTTTTTTTTTTTTTTTTTTTTTTTTTTTTTTTTTTTTTTTTTTTTTTTTTTTTTTTTTTTTTTTTTTTTTTTTTTTTTTTTTTTTTTTTTTTTTTTTTTTTTTTTTTTTTTTTTTTTTTTTTTTTTTTTTTTTTTTTTTTTTTTTTTTTTTTTTTTTTTTTTTTTTTTTTTTTTTTTTTTTTTTTTTTTTTTTTTTTTTTTTTTTTTTTTTTTTTTTTTTTTTTTTTTTTTTTTTTTTTTTTTTTTTTTTTTTTTTTTTTTTTTTTTTTTTTTTTTTTTTTTTTTTTTTTTTTTTTTTTTTTTTTTTTTTTTTTTTTTTTTTTTTTTTTTTTTTTTTTTTTTTTTTTTTTTTTTTTTTTTTTTTTTTTTTTTTTTTTTTTTTTTTTTTTTTTTTTTTTTTTTTTTTTTTTTTTTTTTTTTTTTTTTTTTTTTTTTTTTTTTTTTTTTTTTTTTTTTTTTTTTTTTTTTTTTTTTTTTTTTTTTTTTTTTTTTTTTTTTTTTTTTTTTTTTTTTTTTTTTTTTTTTTTTTTTTTTTTTTTTTTTTTTTTTTTTTTTTTTTTTTTTTTTTTTTTTTTTTTTTTTTTTTTTTTTTTTTTTTTTTTTTTTTTTTTTTTTTTTTTTTTTTTTTTTTTTTTTTTTTTTTTTTTTTTTTTTTTTTTTTTTTTTTTTTTTTTTTTTTTTTTTTTTTTTTTTTTTTTTTTTTTTTTTTTTTTTTTTTTTTTTTTTTTTTTTTTTTTTTTTTTTTTTTTTTTTTTTTTTTTTTTTTTTTTTTTTTTTTTTTTTTTTTTTTTTTTTTTTTTTTTTTTTTTTTTTTTTTTTTTTTTTTTTTTTTTTTTTTTTTTTTTTTTTTTTTTTTTTTTTTTTTTTTTTTTTTTTTTTTTTTTTTTTTTTTTTTTTTTTTTTTTTTTTTTTTTTTTTTTTTTTTTTTTTTTTTTTTTTTTTTTTTTTTTTTTTTTTTTTTTTTTTTTTTTTTTTTTTTTTTTTTTTTTTTTTTTTTTTTTTTTTTTTTTTTTTTTTTTTTTTTTTTTTTTTTTTTTTTTTTTTTTTTTTTTTTTTTTTTTTTTTTTTTTTTTTTTTTTTTTTTTTTTTTTTTTTTTTTTTTTTTTTTTTTTTTTTTTTTTTTTTTTTTTTTTTTTTTTTTTTTTTTTTTTTTTTTTTTTTTTTTTTTTTTTTTTTTTTTTTTTTTTTTTTTTTTTTTTTTTTTTTTTTTTTTTTTTTTTTTTTTTTTTTTTTTTTTTTTTTTTTTTTTTTTTTTTTTTTTTTTTTTTTTTTTTTTTTTTTTTTTTTTTTTTTTTTTTTTTTTTTTTTTTTTTTTTTTTTTTTTTTTTTTTTTTTTTTTTTTTTTTTTTTTTTTTTTTTTTTTTTTTTTTTTTTTTTT